AGCAAGTCTCAAACTGCCTCCATCTTATCAGGAAGAGTGTGCTCTGTCTTCATATGCTAGCAGGACAAACCAGATCTAATGCAATATAAAAAGTGCATAAATATGTATATAATTAAAATTCAGGGACTGAACTACTGTTTACCTTTTGCTATCCATTTCTCAAACACATTAAAAGAAGTATCTGAGAAAAATTAGCAGAAACAGAACTAAAATTTTTCTGTAGCAGAAACAGAACTAAAATTCAGAATGATGAAGCTCTCTTTGCAGTTGCTGCTAACATTTCCTTGTCCCTCCTTTTAAATAATTAAGATGAGCAGTATATCATGATTACTACTGCTGAGATGAATGGAAAAGCATTTAGAACAGCTTTTCCATCCATTTTATGCTCTAGAGGTCTGAGCCATTAACTCTGCTGGGAAGGGCACTATCATGGCTTGGAAGGCGTGTGGTAAAGATTTGCCATGTTTGTTAGGTGAACTTCAAACATATCTTGCTTATGTTCATCCGTGGCCCCTGCTCTGTCTGAGCAAAAAGCTTTTATCTTATTTTTGTTAGTAAAAGGAACCAATTCTACTTAAGAATCAGATGCTACAGTTGGTGTTCTTTGAAGTGAAATGGATAAATGATTGATTCCTTTGATCTTTTCCAAGGTTATGCTGTGGAACCTGCAGAAAGCTCGCCCCCTGTGGACCATAAACTTACAGGAGTGTGGAACAGATGAAGACAGTCTGCAGTCAGCCGGCCAGCTCTTTAACCCCCCACTTGCACATTCCCTGTCTGTCGCATCCTGCGGCAACATCTTTGGCTGCGGAGCTCAAGATGGTAAAGTCAGAATATTCCGAGTCACTGGTCTCAAATTTGAACGTGAGCTGGAGTTTAAAGGTCATAGTTTAGGAGTATCACAAGTCCTCTTCATGCCAGAATCGTACTGGTTGTTGACTGGGGGAAACGATGGGAAAGTCTTGCTCTGGGATGTCAGTAATGACATTGGAAAGCAGCAGAAAAGTCCAGCAAAGTCACTCCATAAAAGGAAGGGCCAAGCAGCCGCCACTGCCAGAAAAGATGGAAAGCTCAACAAAGTGGCTTCAAATGAACACGCTAGAATTTTACCAAAGCTAACCATTGAGCATGGAGAGAAGGTGAACTGGATCACGTGCACAGAGATCAAAGGCTCCAGGAGAGTATTAGTCGCTGATCAGAGTAGTTCTATATCTGTTTATCCGTTGCCAGAGTCTTAGGCACTGAAACAGAAATTTGTGGGGAAGAATCATTTCTCTTCATTCAGAATATGATTCCAATTAAGTCTGTTGGCAGTGAACTAAACAACGAGGCCTCCTGCATTCTCAGGAATGGCAAGGGATTTGCTGTGTTCTCACACAGATGCTCACAATGTCATTGGCCTGGTGTTACGTTTTTAGCAGCTGGTAGTGCTCTGTGCAGCTGTTTCTTCAGGCTGGCAATTAGTTCATAACTGTCCTGACATAACTGAAGTTGCAGGAATAAAATTAACAGGCAATTCCACTATGCTTAATGAGGATGCTGACCAGTAATAGAGATGTAACTGAGTTCCTTCAGTTTCAAACAATTTCAGTGCTTTATTTTACTTTCCCTATTAAGTTGTCCCACAGTTAGCTTGGGGTGGGTTTCTTGGAAATATGGTTTTCATTATTTTGCATATAACACTAGAGAAGCCTTAATCTACTAGCAAGTAATCAAATTAGTAGTCACTGTCAACTGGATTTTTTTTTCACGCTGCAGTGATAAAGAAGATGGGGAAAATGTTAGCATCTGTCTAATGGGCCAGCTGTCGTCTGCATTTAGCTGGTTTTCCCAGAGAGAAAAATTACTACTACATTTATCTTAATAAATGCTTTCTCTCACTGCTCCCGTGTGTTTATATTCATTCTAATATTGCCTAACATAGGTGCTGTGCAAAATTTTGTCAAGAAGTGTATTTATAGGCCATCAGGGTAAATGCAAAGGGACAAATGCACTGTTCTGCCTAAGCTAAATACTTCTACGGCTTTCCCAAAGCTGTTAGAAATGCTGCAAGCCAAACTTGGCAGTTACTTTGCAAGTTGAACACGGGGAGAATGCTGGAGGTGGTAGAAATGATGTCTGATTGATACCAAACTTCCTGTGGAATGGACAAATAGAAAAAGAAAAACCTTTTTTTTTCTTTTTTTCCCTTCAGGTTGTCCTGAAGTTTTCACAGGCAAAGGCTCAGAGCCTTCTGCAGGCCACAGGCCTGCTTGAACAATCTGGGTTCTGTGCTGTTTTGTTACATTGGCTGTGGTGTTGACAGGTGCACATCACTTGCCTTCTCTTTTTAATGGAAAAAAAATGTAGAGTTGTTTGCTTGTTTTTTGCATAGCCAGCTCTTGCAAATATTTGCATCCTTTATGGATGAGATTCCAGTGCTGTGGGTTTCATTGTTCTTTGCCCTCAGAATCAGCTCCCTGCAGTCATGTACAAGTCATTCAAATCCAGCTTTTCATCAACACAAGAAAACACCCCAACAACAATCTGTACAGCCTTTAAAAGCAGGAGACTCTGGCCTAGGAGAAGAGCTTGAAGGCAGTACAGATAAATAAACCTGAACAGCAAACAAGGAGACTGGATTTCCCCTTCTCATTATTCCCTGTATGGCTGAAGACAGACGAGATCAGTGCGTCAGAAGCAGAGGTCCAGTTGTGTAATCTGATGTGTAGTACGTTCAGGAGCATGTGTCTGTGCATCTGTGAGCTATATTTGGGTGTACAGTCTATTAAAAGCCCAGTGCGATCACCCTCCAGCAGGAGTCAGAGCCCCCATCTGTGGTGTTGACTGCCTCAGGAGAGGACTGGAGCCCACCCCTGCTTGACTTCTTTTCTCCAGGACGATGGCTAAAGACAGCATATCCCTGCGCTCCTTGAGCAAGACATTAAACAGGTCTTTAAAGGGTTGTGCTGATTCTATCTTAGGGGATGAGGATAAGTGGCAGGATTGGGGCAGGGGGAGAGAAGACAAGATTATGCTGTGGTCTGTTATCAAGATAACCTGTACTTTGGAAATTTTCACAGGTAATAGGTGTAAATAAATACAGTGTGTATGTGGGAAGAGGGTAGTTCATGAACAATCCTTTGATTCTCCTTCATTTGTTGGAGAGGGAGGGGGCAGAACAAAGGCTGCAGCACTTCATGAACGCCATCCTTGCCAGCTTCAAGCTGCTGGTCCTGGCAGCTTGCTGCAGGATTCTGTGTAAGTGCTTGATCAGCAAAGCCTGGTAGCTGCACGAAGTGCTGCCAGGAGTGTGTCAGTAACAGGAAATTCTGGTTTGTGCTCTGCTGTAGTTCTGCTGTAAATGGGAGATTGGGAAAATTCCAAATTTGGGAAAATACATCAGCACTTATAGGGTTCAGAGATAGGAAGCAAGTGGTTGTAGTTGACAAAAAGCAAGACAAATCCTTCTACATTCTAAGAAAGAAAATCATTGTGACCAAGGAACTGGGACATAGTTAACGCCGAGTCACCTTCCATTTCCAAAGCCTGCACATGAAGAGGCTTGCAAAAAAGCTTTGATCGACAGGTTCATTGGCTTCAACTAAAGTAGTCTGGCACCTGCTTCCCCTGCCGGCACCTGTCCGTGTGTTTCACTGCATGTGACAGCACCATCACTGCTGGATGGTGCCTGATCATCCAGGTGGGCAACAGCAGCAGCACCAAACGAGAGCCACAGCCACTGCTTGTCGGGAAGGGAAGAGTGGAAAGGGGGTCTGGAAACCACATAGTTAAAAGACAAGGTGAGACAGTGCTCCCTTTCAGTGGATTTTCATGTATGTATTTCCATATGCACTATCTGTGCTGTGCAAGTGGTGTCAGCCAAGAAACTGTGCTAACTTAGGTGCATGTGTATAGCTGGTTTACAGGTAGTAAGAATTCGTAGTGTCCTGCGTGAGCATTCCTGCTGATGAAATGCAGTACTTCTGCTCATGAAATAATGCTTCAGATATTGATACTTGCTTTTATATTCGAATTACAAAAATACTTCAAAGATCAGCCCTCTGCTGCAACAGCAGTATTGCTGTAACAGAGATAATCTCTTCTCCATATGTGAAAATCACCATCAGACAACAAAAACTCCAACTATGTTCCAGGTTCTTAGTGTTATCCCATACCAACCAATCTATGCCAGGGAGAAACTAAATGTATGTATTCCCCAAAGATCTTCAAGCAAAGAGCCAGAATTCATTTAGATCTTTTTCTCTTAGTTTAACTGTTCTGTCACAATCTCGATAACCAGCACGTGGTGTAGACAAGGCCACTGGCAAAACTCTATCCACATCACCTGAAAGATGCTGTGTGTAATTTATCTTACTTGTTAAAAAAGAAAAAATAAGTTACAGCTAGAGACTAAATGAAATAGGGCCATAACCAGCAAGAGGTAAAGATGTTGATATAACACAGGAAGGCTTGATATAAGGTTCAACACAGGAAGGAAGATCCAGTTCCCTAAACATGATGCAATAATAACAGTAACAGAAACAGTGGAAAGAACTGTGCATGAAGAAGGGGCAAAGAAAAAAAAAATGTAAGAGTTTTGTTTGTAATAAAACGTAGCAATTACTTGATGAAGCCAGTAAAACACAAAGAAAATCACACAAATCAATGGGAGCAGCTGATATTCTAATAAATCACTACTAGAGTACATGGTGCCCCGTGATTTGTTCCATGTCTAGGAAGGAATTTTGGATGATGGGTATTTCCATTGCTTTGAGGTCCCCAGGATTCAAAAGAAGAGACATAGACATAACATAGTGAACTGAGGCAAACTTAACATTATCTTCACAAAAGCCACCACCAGGATGAAAGAAACCCAGCAAACCTCACTCCTCAAGTAAAACAAAGAATGGAAAACGGGCACAAAGTGTCCCATTCCCTCTTCCTTTTCAGTAGAAACAGTTAAGTTCTCAACAGAGCAGGATTTTTTTTTTTTCTGCAAAGGCTGTGGGGAGAAAACTCAAACTCAAAAAAAAATCCATATTTTGGATTATGGGATTAGGATATTCAAAGATACGGTTTGTTAATAAGGAAAACTACAGAAGATATCAAGCTATAAAAAAGCAGTGAATAAATACCAGCTACAGAACACAGCAGTGTAATTGCTGTTTCACTAAGGTCCTCCTGTCATGCATTTGTTCTGCAGAAGAACCACCATATGAAAGGGAAAACCAAAGCAGGAAAAGCCAGCAGAGAACAAAAGCCACTGAGGGCAGCTTGGTTTATTATTTGCATAATTTGTTAACTGGGGAAGAATGAGAAGTTCTTTCGATGTTAAATGAAAAGGGTTGAGGAGATCAGGACAGTACAAGTAAAAGTAGAAATAGCTGCAGTGTTAGGAAAATAAAAATACCTCCTACCTTAACATCCAAACAAATGGTTGATAATCCAAACGCAGACCTAAACACAAACCTTTCCAATGGCTCTGTCTGCATTTGCAAGTTATGAGATTTCTACACCGTGGAAAGGTCAAAGGGACATTCCATCAGAAGATGGAATTTCAAATGGTGTTTGAGTCTGCAAAAGAAGTAAATGAACTCACAGTTGACTTGGGAGAAACCTCAGGATGTGGTGTGGATCAGCTCAGTGGGATGTGTGACCACATGCAGAAAGCACAGCGCGTTGAGGCCCAGGTTCTAAACCAATGCTTGTTTCCCACTCTCTAGAGTAGAGAGCAGGCTGCAAGCCTTGGAGATGCGGTTCCAAGACCTGGACTCAAGCCTGCAGAAGCTGGCGCAGAAGTTTGAGGTGCAGGCCGAGCTCCTGGAGCAGGAGAAGAGCCAGGATGCAGTGTGGACATCGGAGCTGGAGGACAGGTGGGCAGCAGGGAAGGGCCGGCACCAGCTGTCCTGTGCCCTGCAGCTGCGGGTGGTAAGTGCACCTCAGTGTGCTTGTGCAGCCTGCGTTACTGGAAACAGGAAGGGTCGTTTGACCGGAGCTGCAGACAGCTGTTTATTTGAAATAAATATGTGCGTGGTAAAGAGCCACACCACTTCCCAGAGACTGGGGGTGGGGAAAAAAGAACACGGATGTTCTGATTCCCTCCTGCTAGCAAGGCCCGGAGATTGCACTTGAGGTTAGAGGTGGCTATCACGAGGCTTTGTGTCTTCTTAGAGGGCTGAGATCACTCAGCGGGGCAGCTGCAGGACCTCTGGAGAAGCGGGGCGGTGCGGGTGGCGGCCTCACAGCGCCGCTCCCACCGGCACCCACACAGCACAGCGCCGCCTCGTCCTGCAGCCGCCCAGCGCAGCCGGAAGCCGCCGGGCCGCACGGCACGGAGCGCCGCGGCTCTTCCCGCTCACTGCAGCCACCCCGCGGCTCCCACACGGAGCGCCAGCCTTCCCGCAGGGCGGAGCGGCCCGCCGCCGTGAGGGCGGAGCGCGGCCTGTGAGCGCCGGAACTGGGAGCTGAGGGCGGCGGGCCGCGCGGCTCCGTTCCTGCGCTTAGGCGGCCGCGGCCCGCGCTCGGCTTCCCGCGCTCGGCTTCCCGCGCAGCCTGTGGTGAGCTGGTACCGCGCCGATGCTCGGCCCGCGCTCGCTCCCTCCGGCCCGCAGCCGCCTGCCTGGCCGTGGGCCCGCAGCCTCCCTGTGAGGATCCCCGCCCTTCTGGACCCGCAGGCCCGCCTTCGCCCCGCTCGGTGCGCGGAAACCCGCGTGTATGCCGGCTGAAACCTCTCGTCCCAGCAGAGGTAATACGGACCGTGCGGGGGGTTTGTTACACAGCTGCACCGCTCGGTGTCTCCGTGTTATCTAGCCGAAAAATAAACTTGTATTAAGGAAGAACGAAATCACCAGAAGCCGCCTTCGTGTGCCTCTGTCTCCATGTCAGCTTTTCGCTGCGTTATCAGGGTCGAACTGTCACAGCCTCTGTCAGAAAGCTCTGTCTTTGTGCAGTACCCGATGTTTTACTTTTTTTCTTAATTTTTGTAGCTTGAAAAATCATATTTTCGTCCCTTTTGCTGCGGGGGGGCAGGGGGTGTCTTTTGTTCTTTCTTTCTGTTGCACCACGTTCTGGGTCAAGTGAAAAGCCGTTTGAGGAGGGCTGGTGGCAGAAGGGCTGGGTGATCCCACTGATCCAAGGCGTGCAGGTCGTGGTGGGAGGCACCGAATGATTGAATACACTGGTTAGATCTTTGCTTATGTTTGTCAGACTTAAAAGGCACTTTGACTTTTGCCTTCCAGCTTAAGCAAATGACTGAACGTGGAAGACCCTTCTCCCTAAGGAAGAGCCTCTGATGCACAGGGAGAATGTTGTGTTTCACCCTCGCGTGGAGCTAAGCTGTGCTAGAATCAACTTTTGAAGGATGCACATATAGCAAAAAATGGACTCATTTGAAAGTTAATTCAGTGATGTGATAACATCCACCAAGCATGACCTTAGCTTGTAACTATGAGAAAATAAATGCTGGAAGACTTTCTTTACCCCTTTTTCCCATGTTTCTATCTCCCTGCTATCCTCTGATGTACCTGCTGCAGTTCACAGGAAATTGCAGTAGGAATCCTTGTTTCACAGGGACTTCTGTTAAGACTTGCATCTTCTTCTGTAAGTCAAAAAGTTACCAGCTTTCTTAAATATGCTGAGCTTTTTGTAAGGTAGTTAGAAAACAGTTTGTTAGAATACACATTTCTTTCTGCTTTCAGGTACTGCTGTTAATTTGTCTCATTCCTGAGCTTCAAGTCAATATGTCCAAGAAATCGGAGGCTCCTCTTTCCTTAGATGACTGCCTCTGCCAGATCTGCATGGAGATCTTTGTGGAGCCCGTGACCCTGCCGTGCAACCATACCATCTGTAATTCTTGTTTCCAGCTGACAGTCGAAAATGCCAGTCTTTGCTGCCCCTTTTGTCGGCGTCGAGTCTCTTCTTGGGCACGATATAATGCCCGCAGGAATACTCTTATCAACTGGGAACTCTGGGAGAAGATTCAGAAGAAATATCCGAAGGAATGTGAGCGTAGAATTAATGGACAGGATTTGGAAGAGGAAAGTAAGTAAGATGTCACTTGTCCTGTGCTTTACCAAAGTAATTAGTACAGGTGGGCTTTGGATGTTGTGAAAGAAGATACTGTGCATAGATGCGCTGTGTTGTTGCTAGAAAATGCAGTGCAGAGCTGTCCTGTGAAAGGGACTTGCAAGGCAGGGCAGTGGCCATGCCTTTTGTTTTCTGTAGTACAGAGTAAGTAATATTGTCTCATTGTTTCAGTGGATATTTGTTCCTGCTTTTGGCACAAAATGTTGCTGTATGGTTCTTTCTCCTTGCAGAAACAGATATTACTGATACAACTGCAACTGTAAGATCTTTAATCAGAGTGTTTGTGGGTGTGATTATCCTTATCAAGTATGTCAAGTGGTTAAACCTTGGTGATTTTTTTTTTCAACTTTTAGATACTCTCAATTAGTTTCATTAGAAATTCCAGGTTTTTCAGTATGTCTAAGAGTCTCAGAGCCTAAAATTGTGATGTTAGACAAAAGGAAATGAAATCTGACTCTCTCCCTGAAGAAGGATATGGGGGTTTATTTTGTTGTAACCTCCATTCAAATTTGATCTCTTCTGACAGTTTTATATCTGGGAGAGGCAACACTGTTCCCACACCCCTTCCCGTTCTTCCCAGCATGGTCAGTACCAGCAGTGGCATTGGGTGTTTAACACAACTCCGAGAAAAATGGACATAGTAACCTTAGAATTTCTTAATAGAACATATGAACAAGTTTTTCTTAGTATCTTTTAGGTCTGTTGTATTAAAATGACACAGGACTCAGAATCCTGAATCTTTTGAAGGGCTAACAGAATGGAGTATTCTAGCTGGGACAGAACATCCTTAGCAGAAAGCAAAACATTTAAAAAACGAGTGAATAAATTGAAAAGTGGATAGCATTTCAAACTCCTTTGGTAGGCCTTCCTTACAACACATTGTGTCACTTTTTTTGCTTACAGCAAAGTTGTTAGAGGCAAAAAGCAAGAGTTATTATCAGTATGCATATTTGCTTTGTATACAGGGCTTGGAAAATACTGGCTGTTCCTGCTACTTTGTAACATCCTTGCTTTTATCTTTTGTATTTTGAATTATTTTACTGTGTTCCAAAGGCTTGACTTAAGTCATTCCCATGATAAGGTATGGAAATGATCTTTTGTTAAAATGTTTTACTGTTGACTGTCATGATTTTGCTTTGTTGCTCACTCTTTTTTATTACCCCCTTGCTCTTAATTAGTCTTTGTCCCCCATCCACATCACCAGCTGAGCAAACCTGGGGAATTGAGACAGGAATATGAAGCAGAGGTTAGCAAGGTAAGTCTAAAAATGTATTTAAAAGTGCAAAATGCTTTGACTCTAGTCATTTTAACTGTTCCCACAAACAGCTGAAATGTTGTTTAACAAAAAAAGGAAGGTACTTAAAAGGACAGTGTTGCTACAAGAACATGCTGGTCATTCCTGATGCACAAATTCCATTTTTATCCTATATTGACTCTAAGAAAGCTGTATAGTCACAAGGCAGTATGTAAGAAGGCTCTATAGCCTCTACTTAAGAAAGTATCTCTATTTAAGAAATGTTGAATAAGGGTGGGAAAAAAAGCATACTGAGATATGAAACTTAACAGCCAGAAGTAAACCTATGTCATAACCTTCTGGTTATGATGCTAATCTGTGCTACCGCTGATGTGTTGCTTCTGAGGTCTGGATCCCATGTGGAAAGAAGAGAGGGAGGACAAAGTGTGTGTTCTTCAGCAAGAGCTAACAGTTGTTGCTAACAATGGAAGGTGACAGTCTTCAGTTCAGATGCACAGTTGACTTAAGCTGGAAGAGCAGACCTTGTTTATTCAGCAATGTGTGCTGGCTTACGGATGCATTTTCTTGTGGCAGTTTCAGCTTATGCCACCTTCAGGTATTGGTCAAGCTGTCATACTGCAGGCTTGGTGTCTACCACTCAAAATCGAGGCTGAAGAATGGATTTCTGTTTAAGGCTCTGTTTTCTTTATTTAGAGGCTTTGGGGCTTTAAATTTTGTAAATTTTCTGACCAAGCACATTCTGTGGGAAGTGCAGCTGGAGTGATTTCATTTGAACTGTTTCCATGGAAGGAGTGTTAGTGAAGAGATTTGGATGCAAAGCACGGTGCTATGGCAACTGCATATCTTAAAAACAGTTCTTTCTCAGGTGGAGGCAGAAAGGCGAGCACATGAGCAAGAAGAGAACAAGGCAAGTGAGGAATACATTCAAAAGCTGCTAGCAGAAGAAGAGGAAGAGCACAGATTGGCAGAAGAAAGACGAAAGGAGATGGAGGAACAGCTTAAACAAGATGAAGAGTTGGCATGGCAGCTCAGTAACAGCTTGGTGAGTTAACATAAAAGGGGACGTTTTGTAATGTTCATTTAGCGTAAGCAACTTAGACTTTTCAGAGCAAAAGTTAAACTTCTGGATAATTTAAATTTGCCTGAATTGCATTTGAAAGTTGTTGTCAGCTGTCAGTACTTTAGCTCCTAGACTGACCATTAATTTTTGATGAACCAGCATGAGGGTGAAGTACTTCCAAGCATTTCTACCTGTATGGTAGGCACTTGAAATGGGTGTTGGTATTTTTTGCTGCAAAACATTTTAAAACATTGGTTTTCTTCTGGCTACTTCCTTTCCCCTGTGAATTTAAAAATTCTGCTATGAAAGAAATTGAGGTCTATATCCTCATGTAGTGAAGAAAGAAACAAATGATGCTTGAAAAAGTTTAACTTGGATTTGGGATTTTTTTAATTTTTTAAATTTTTTTTCTGGAATTCCTTGGTCAGAAGTAACTGATTCTGTAGCAGAAGGACAGAAGTAGTTCTCCAGTTTGTGTTGTGGTTTGTTTTATATAATGCTATTTTTCTTTGTCATTGAAGAATGACAGTTTGGGAGAACACGTGCTCAGCAGTTCTTCACGAGGAGACAGCCTCTCACATGAATCACTCCCAGCTAATTTGTGCAAGGTGAAGAACAAACCAAGCAACTCTGGAGACATCCAGAAGTAAGAAAGCCAAGTTTCTGTTTTATGATTTGATTAGTGATCTGTTTCTCATTATAGTGCCTTTCTGTCCCATGTGCTTCCTTGGATTCTTGCAGCCTGACTTCCCTGTATAATTTGGACAAATGTAGGCTATTGAATATTGAAACATCTCCTCATAGGATAACGTGGAGGAGAAGAGATCCTAACCCATCTTGTTATTGTCAGAACGAACACGAGATTATGATTAATATAAGGGACTAGCAGTGCAAAGGAAGAAAAAAGGTTTTAACAAGTATACCTTTTGTTTTGTTTTTCCTGCCTTTAAGATACCTGACTCCAAAACATCACACATTGCGATCAGCTTCATTCTCCAGAGCAACAGAGGGAGGCGGGACTGCCCCTGGATTTGTGGTAATAGAATCATTTTGTTACAAATCTCAATGTTAGCAATTGCAGGTTCTCTCTGCTTTGCCTGTAGTAATGCCTATCAGCACCGGGCAGTCCTTATATCTGTTTCAAGAGCTGTCTCGGTATTCATGATTCCCAAAAGTGGAAAGGGAAGAAACCACATTTGACAGTCAGCAGACGCACACCTGCAGCTTATTTTATGGTTACCCTGTATATCTGCACAGAGGCTTTGGTTAACTAAACTTGAATACTGACAAGAACTTTGAATCATAGAACCATAGAATGGCTTGGGTTGGAAAGGACCTCAAGGATCATCAAGCTCCAACCCCTCTGCTGCATGCAGGGCCACCAGCCTCCATATCTAGTACTAGACCCAGGCCTCCTCCATTCACAGGTTGTCACCACGTCCACAAACAATTTTAATTACTTTGAGTTTTTCCTGTAGTTTGACATTTTTGTTTTGTTGTTGGTTTTTTTTGTGTGTGATCTCAATAATGCATACTCCTGGTTTTTGAAGGTGTAAATGCTGTTTACATTAAGATTTTCAGTGAACTCTGAGCTGCAGCTGACGGCATATAAAACTCTAATGATTATTCTGGAGCTTATTCAGGGAGGTTGTACTCTGATTTTCATTTGTCTGGATCTTTCCTGCTAAGCTCTGACGATGAGCAGGCTAATACCTTGAGCAGCTGATTGGAGTCATTGATAACAGGAGAATGCTGCAGTTCTTTTCAGTCTTCCAGCTATGCTTCTGCAGGTTGCTCTGAATACTTATTTAACAATGCTGTTTATTCATTTTTGTTAAAGAAGAATCCAAGTTAATATCCTGGAGTAGCTATGATCAGTGCAGCTATGATAAAACAGATTTCCATTTTAGTTACATCAATCGGCTTTTAATAAATGCATTTTATTAGCAATCTCTTTCTCTTTTCTTCAGATCAGTAACAATGAAGGCAGCAGTACTGAGGGGCAAGATGAGCAAGAGGAAATGCCAACACTGTCTCCACAGCTGAGTGGTGTGACCAAAAGTTCTAGTGCTGAGGATTTGTTTATGCAGACATACATTAACTTCCTAAATGCCTCAGCTTCAGAGGAGACCGCAACTGTCAAGCAAAAAAATACACATGAACCGAACCGTCTCAGAGATGAACTTCTACATAAAACTTGCGGCGTTGCAGAAGGAGAAGGGGCTAGAACAGTTCTTCTCACATCCAAAGGAGAAGATGGAATAGTGTTGGACAGTGACAGTTTAACTCATGTAAACAGCATAAACCTTGAAAACTGTGCTGAAACTAGTAGTTGTATTCAGTTAGCAATAAATTCCATGTCTGACAGCAAAAGTGTAAAAGGTGATCTCATGAAGATGGCTGGAAATGCAGATGAAAAGAAACCAGAGAGTTTGCTGAACACTAAGGAGGCTCCCAAAAGAAAGTCTCCAGAAGCACTGGCTGAAGCAGTGGTTGACTTGGGTGTGGTTGACAAGAGGAGAAGAACTTTTCCAGGAACTTTGGAGGAGGAAGCGGAGTGGAAAAGTGACTTTAATTTGCAAATGCAGAAAGCCTTTGAGCAGGAGCTCCATGAAAGGCATATGCAAGAGGAGCAGGATAGGCTTCTGGCCCTGCAGCTGCAAAGACAGTTCAACAAAGAGGAGAGGTTACTTAACCGACAAAAAGGATCTCCAGATGAGTACCTTCTTCGTACTAAAACACCTCAATCTGTGAAAGACTCTTCTAGAAAAGGAAGCTCTAAGATGGCAAAGGACTCAAAACTATCGAAAAAACAGAGTGAAACAAATCACCACAAGGGTCGGAAAGGTTCTTGCAATGAAAACTGGCAGTCTCCTACCAGAGTCCGAATGAAATCACCCAGCAGTGGAAAAGTCTTGAATTGTGTTGTTAACACCAGTGATTCAAATGATGTTCATGCACTGCCTAAGAGAAAACAAAAGACAATCCTTCAAATGCTTAAAAGCCCTGTTACTGAGTAGAACAGCAGAACTGCAGACACGTGGTTTAATTAATTGGAATTAAAACCATGGTAATGTTTATCCCTGTGTCAGGCAAAGCTTCTCTTAAACAGTTACAAAATTGATGGTTTTGAGGGTTGGGCCTTGGGCTGCAAGAGTGACCAAAACTGTCTATTACAATGTACTGTGAATGTTTTTGAGAAGTTTAAATAACTTACGCCTCTAGACCTTAACATTTTTAATTAGTCCTTTCTCAGCTATGGCTTCTTCTCTAGGACTTGCATTTTCAAGATGTTTTTTTTTATGCTGGAATGTAAATACTGTTATTGTTTGAAATTCAAAGTAACTGATAGTCCTAGAATGAGAATTCGGAGCCTTTTGTGGGGACTGCACATTCCCCAGAGGAAGCAAAGATGTGTGTCTGTATCTCTGCTTGTCTGCTGACTGTGAGACTGAGGCTTTACAAGGCACAGGCACTGTTCTGTTAAACTGAAGGATGTTACTGGAATTTGGTTTATTTGTTGAATTGCATTGTTTGCTTGGCAGTTAAAAGGATTGTAACCAATAATAAGCCAGTCTTGCAAAGGCATTTTCCCTCTCTCTTATCCTCTCACAGAGTAACACCTTTCTTAGGCAAAGTGGAAAAAAAGGATCATTCTTCCACAGTCAAAGGCAAAGATCTGTCATAGATGCCAGTAGCAGAAGTGGTTGTGGGCTCGCATTTACTTCTGTTCATTTTGTTTTCTTCTTGTTAGTAGCCTGTAACTTATACAATCTTGCCTGGATTTATTGCTATTTAACATTCATGTGCAAACTGACTTGAGGCTGATTATAAGCACCTAATATTCAAAAATTATTAGTCCAGGAGACATGATGGAGTAAGTAAAACCAAAAAGGGGAGAAGCAACTAGAGTTACCAGTATTGACTTAATTTAACTTTAAACTGGAGTTCAACTACTATGCCTGGCTGGAACTGTTGCTCCATTATTATTTTCTGAAGGACTAGAAAATACTGTCTTCCAGTTGAGTTTGATGGTAAAATTATTAAAAAGAATTATAGTTTAGACATCCTGTGAAGCTGACAGCTGTGCCAAGTTGAGGCCTTTGGAACAGTTTGCTAGCTGTTAGTCAGCAGGTAGCATTCCTGTTATATAGTTTTCTATTTTGCTATTGTGAAGCCCATATTTTGGCTTTTGTTTGGATGTAATGATATATTTCTCAAGTATAACATTTTTGAATGAGAGCAAAACACCAGCTTACACTGCTGAACTGTGCGTGCTCCTTGCTGAATAGCAGATGTTTGAAAAAGTACACATTTGAAATCTTACGGGTGATCTGTAGGCTTTAACTCAGCTCTGGGAAACTCGTAACAAATATTTTAAAGCAGTAACTTCTGGTGTTGCGTAAGTTAAAAAAACAAACAAGCAAACCACAAAACATTAAAAAAAGAAAGAAAAAAAAAACCTGAAAGAAAGGAGACCAAGCCAGAAATTTTTTTTATTATTTTAACTTGATGGCACATCTCTGATACTGTTGGGTTTCTCCTAAATAAGTGGAGTATTCAAAGAGCCTTCTTGAGAAAGCTACAGGTGACCTATTGCAAATAATTCATTATTCCCACTGCTGCCTCAACCATAGCACTGGAAGCCTTCGTTTGATATAGACCCCCTTCTGTGTAATTCTTATTTCAGTTTGTTTTCATCTTACCCAGGCAGCTGGATGTAATCCGCTGCTGATTGCAGTGTTGTTCAAGGCAGAGGTGTTGACTGTTTCCGTGCTTAAGATACTTTTCCTGTCATGATAAGCATGTAATAAGTAAACTCTATTTCCAGAACAGGCTGAGGATGAAGAGTTTTGTTCTTAAGTCTCAATTCAGCCCTGTCTTAAAATCAATTTATCAAATCTGATGTTTATTTTTGACTTGATCAAAAACTGGTCCCTGCTTTGGCGTTGAGAACCTCTTTCTGAGAGCATGGCACCTGATGTCTGCAGCCCTTTCTCAAGTAAGTCTGGTGCTCCTATTGATTTTATTTTTTGAAGTTCTGGTATAATGAAACTACAACCAGCAGCGAGAGAGAATTCCTTCTTTCTTTGAATGCTTTAGCATTCTGAGCTTTCTATGAACCAGTTAAAGATCCTGAAGGGAACAGAGGTGGGAGAGAACAAGGAAAAGGGAAAGCTTTCCGATGGCAGCGTGAGCTATTTCATTTGTAGCTCAGTGCGTCCCAGTATGTGAGACTGTCACATATAACAGCAGTTTCATTCCTTTTTCCTCCACAGCTGTTCTGTGCATTCTTTCTTTTCCTCTTAATATGATGGTTATGTCTCTTCCACGTAAGGTTTATAATATGCACTCAACTAATCTCAGTTAAAAAGGTAGAATTAGACAATATGGAGGGGGCTTTTTTGCATCATAAAGGCTTACTTCATTGCCATCAATAACAAATCCTGCAGCTGTGGTTCAACTGCAAATAAATACAAAGAGTGCAGAAAGAAGCCATTTCAAAAGTCAGAATTGTACAGGAATACAGTTTTGGGGGCAGGTGGTAAAAAGTTTGGGGGTTTTGTACACTTTTTTCTTGTACCTAGTTGTAGGGTTTTGTTCTCTCAGCGTAAGAATCATAAGAATCATCATTTTTAAAGCTTATTGGGACGGTCTTTTTACTTTATGTACCCCAAAGGTGGAGGTATGTAAGTACTTTTATAATTAGTAAGTATACTTTGGCAGCCGTCTAAAATTCACTTTATCTTGGACTGGGAAAAAGAAAAAACCAAAACAGCCTTGCTTTGCGAAACACATCTCACGTAGAAAAGTTGAAAGGCTGTTGCAGAATGGAGAAAACAAACAAGACTAGAAGTCAATCATTAGTTAGACACACACTCGACTGAAGTACACAAAGCCCATAACCCGTACTGGGTGCCCAGTCCAACGGCCTCCTGAGGGCTGCACGCTTCCAGATCCCCACCTGCCCGCACTCACAGCACGTGTGGCAGAGCGGTCCTCAGGAGGGTCCTCGTGTTCGTTTTATGCTTTTCTTGTTGGAGGGTGGAATTCAGCTGCTGGGAGGATTTTGGTTGCTCCAAGTGGCAGGTTCGGGTCGGTTAATGAGTGTTAATGAGCGTGAGGCTCCCAAGTCCCGACGTGGAGCGATTTAAGCTCTCAGTGCTTGATCTCGGGCACAGTGAGAACTCGCAAGGCAACCCTGGGGAGCCGTTCCTGTTGGTGTGACGGTATTTCTCAGCTTCTGCTTCTTAAAACTCGTCTCCTCCAGTCCAACGCCTCGCACACAGCATTCCACCTGATGCTGTTCTGAGGTAAAGCTGCACGAAAGCAACGGCACCCCACCTTGCGGGCATTTCAGCGTTGCCACTGAAGCCTCTGACCCACTCAGCCCTCCTGCTGGGTGAGGGGAGGGCTGCGCACACCGCCTACCCAGACTTGCAAGGCCTTTGGCTCTCTCCCTCAGCCTTCTCCTCGGGCAGCAGCCGTGGCTGGACGCGGTAAAGAACCGGAGGACCGGGCTCAGAGAGCGCTGCTGGATGGAGAAAAACAAAAGTGCGTTCCCGCTGGGGCGCAGCACGGGCATCATCGCCGCCTCCTGCGCCCGGCAGTTGCCGGTGAACACCTCAATCAACCCCTTTCCCGCCGCGCCGGGTCGCCCCGTCAGAGAGGGCGGCTGAGGCGGCGCGAGCCGCGTTACCACGGCAACTCCCGCGCCCCGCCCCGGCGCGGCGCCACCCCGGCGGCGGGGCAGAGGAAGGGCGCGGGCGGGCTTCGCGCATGCGCGTTGCGCGCGGGCCGGCGGCGTGCGTGTTGTTGTGCGGCGGCGGCAAGATGGCGGCGCACGGGGGCTCGGCGGCCTCCGCGGCGCTGAAAGGGTTAATCCAGCAGTTCACCGCCATCACGGGTGAGGCACGAGGAAGGCCGGGCCCGGACCGGCTCGCCGCCGCTTCTCGCCGTCGTCGAGCGGCCGGGATGGAGGCGGAGGGCCGGGCGCGGGGCGGCGGGGCGGGGGGCCGGGCCTGTCAGCGGGGCGGCGGCGGGGCGCCGGGCTGGCCGCGATGCCCGCCTCGGGGAAACGCGGCTCCGCAGAGGCGGGCGGCTCGCCCCGCGGCCGGGTGGCGGTCCGGCAGCCGCGTCCCCGCTCGGTGGGAAGCTCGCGCGTGGCGTGACGGCGCTGAGCTGAGCGGCGTCCGCTGCGAGTGTCCGTGCGGAGCGTCGGCGTGTCGGCACCGCGATCGGCTGCGGGCTGCGGCGCGGACGCGGCACCCGAAACGGGAGTGCTGGGGAGTTACGGGGCCCGGCTTCTCCTGACAGAAACCAGCCGGACTAAACCCTCGCCGCTATGAAAGAAGACGCGCCTTTCGTTGCAGCGAGCTCCCGTGTGTGCCCAGTGTTCTCCTTCTCAGCGGTGCCCGAGAGGCCAGGCAGAGCTGTGCTGGTTGCCCAGCAGCCCTCTGCTCGAGCAGCTGGGTGATGGAGATGTCTAAACCCCGCTCCTGCGCTTCAAAAAAGAAAACATGAACCTGCTGGGTTCTGCCCACCCACCTCTGAAAGAGAGGTTTGAGGTGCTGACTTTTTGTTGTAATAGAATGTAAGGTTCTGTTTGGAGGTGAGTTTTTTCAGAGCTGTCTGGCCCTGTGGCACAGTGGCAGGTGCTGCACAGCACAACCTCAGCAGTCTGTCATCAGCTGCACCTTCGGTGCGAACCTGCTTTCTCAGGAGGTAGACTGGATGCTCCAGCCCCTGCGGTTCTGTGTAAGTGCACAGAGTTACCACGTTTGTGTGGAAAAGGTGAAATGAATTCCACCAGCCTGGAAGGCCAACTGTGTTCTGGGCTGCATTAAAAAGGGGTGGCCAGCAGAGAAAGGGAGGTGATTGTCCCCCTCTGCTCAACTCTTGTGAGGCCCCATCTGCAGAACTGCATCCAGGCCTGGGGTCCCCAGCACAGGAAGGACGTGGAGCTCTTGGAGCAGGTCCAGAGGAGGGCACTAAGATGATCAGAGGTCTGGAGCACCTCTCCTGTGAGGAAAGGTTGGGGGAACTGGGCTTGTTTAGCTTGGAGAAGAGAAGGCTCTGGGGAGACCTTATTGTGGCCTTCCAGTACTGGAAGGGAGTGTATAAAGAGGAGGAGGAACGGCTGTTTATGAGGGTAGATAGTGATAGGACAGGGGGAATGGTTTTAAACTAAGACAGGAGAGGTTTAGGTTAGATAATAGGAGGAAGTTTTTCACTCAGAGGGTGGTGAGGCACTGGAACAGGTTGCCCAAGGAGGTTGTGGATGCCCCATCCCTGGAGGCATTCAAGGCCAGGCTGGATGTGGCTCTGGGCAGCCTGGTCTGCTGGTTGGTGACCCTGCACATAGCAGGAGGTTGGAACTAGATGGTCATTGTGGTCCTTTTCAACCCAGGCCATTCTATGATTCTATGCTCTGCTTCCAGCACACCTGATGGTGAGCAGCAGTCATAGAATCAGAGTCTCTGCAGTTGGAAAAGACACTATAAACATCAAATCCAGCTGTGAATCCATGCCCACTAACTCATAGTCCTTGAATATAGTCTTCAGACAGCAGTTTGTTTTTTTTTTTTTCTTTGGTGCTCTCATCCAGAAAAGTGCTAAGAGAGTGTAGGTCCTGTGTATCTTTGCAGATGAAATTACAAGATAAAAAGAAATTTGTTTCAACTCTTGCGGAATAATTAGTATTTCTGTTTGCCAGCAGGAACACTGAGAACATTGGTGTGATGCTATCTTCCTTAGGACTGAAGAAGATTTGGTCCAAATGCTTTGTATATTCATGACTTAAAAAAGCAGAAGGTTGAATATAATTTTTCTTCTGGTCCTCCTAAATGAACAGCATGGTGTGACTGTGCAGTGAGGTTGCAGGGTGTATGTATATTCCAAACTCTGCAGGTATTGCTTCGTTTCTCCAGCTGGTGTTGAAGTGAGCTCCTGAAAATATCAAAGAGCAGTTACAGTGAAAAACTACTTGATGCTTTTGTGTTTTATTAGGGATGGTACTAGTTCTTTCTGCGCTCTTATTTTGATTAAGGTCCTCAAGCACAGCTAAGTACCATTGGGGTACTCTTGAGGTTGGTTCTTGGGTTTTGGTTTTTTTTTTGGAAAAGCAGTTACCTTGGTCAGCCTGGCTTTCTTTGTGGTTTAATATAATGGCACAGGTCATTTAGTATTGCTTTATCTCAACAGATTCAAAGTGTGTTCAGTGTATCAGTCTGTTTAATCTAAAGTTCTGAGTACTTCCTGGAAAATCTCAGAGACACACTATGAAAGTAAGTTAAATGTGTTTTGCTCAAAGTGGTGTTAGCTGTCATTCTGAAGCTGGGAACACAGAGTTTTCTTCATTTCAGTGACTTGTAGTGAAGTTGGTAAGAATTATTACAGACCAAAAGCTGCTCCCAAACTGGTTCAGCTGCATTTTGCCACTCTTCCTCTATACCAGCTTTTCCATATTAAAATAGACTCTTTGGCAGCCTGCTACCTTTAGAGACATAGTGTAGTAAATAGACTCTTGAGAGATTAGATGCAGGAGAGATTCAGTTGGTGAAAGTGCTTTTGTTGACTGTATGGCCTTGAGGAAGCTTTAGAGGCAGACCCTGGAAGGAAGAACTGCAAGTGTTGCTAAGGAGTAATGTTTCATCCTGAGCAGCACATCAGTCTGCATTTAGTTGGGCCTGGGAGCCATTCTAGTAAATGTTAGTGATGATACTACTTTTTCCCTGTTCACTTTTAAAATTTCCTTGTACATGAACTGAGATTCTGCTTGTTTTTGCCTTCTGGAGCACCCAGTGAAACAGGGAATCTTTTCTTCCTTCTTTAAGTATCTGTTAGAGGTGGGTAAAAACTTTGGTACTGGATTTAGTATTCTCTCTGTTAAAATGTTAAATCAGTTGGTTGTTTCATTTTTTTTTTTTTTTCACATAACACAACAGAAGTCAAATTTAATAAGCTTGTCAATATTTGGAAAACTATACAAAGAAAAAAAGAAGTGCTCAAAAATACTCCCACAGAACTTTCTCCTGCTGGAAGGGAGAAGTGTGGCTGTCCTGTATCCAGGCATTTCCTTTTCCCTTGAGATGTGTGTTTGTCTCACCTCATAGTTGTGCCTTAGGGATAAATGGCACCTGCTGAACTGCTCTAATGATCAGTGCTTTAAAAGAGAAAGCTTGCTGGTGAGCTGTTCTCAGAGCTTCTGATCAGAACACTTTATGAAGAATGCTTCTGTATATATATATATTTTTTTTTGCATTACAGGTGCCAGCGAAAGCGTGGGAAAACATATGCTTGAAGCATGCAACAACAACCTGGAGATGGCTGTCACCATGTTTCTGGATGGTGGAGGCATAGCAGAGGAGCCCAGCACCAGTTCTGCAGCAGTGTCTGCAGTTCGACCACACACCGAGTACGTACTGCATAAATATGAGTAGTCTGTCTGAAAAGTTTTGTAATGTAAGACAGAACAATGAAAGCAGTTTTCTTTTTCCTAAACTGCTGTTATTTCAGTGTAACATGTGCTTCTTTGATGATCTTGTTTGATTGATTGCTTTGATATTTTTCTTAATAAATAAGTTTTTCTTATTGCACAAGCTGGTCTCTCTTGTGTGTACTTCAGAAGTTTTCCATTGTATGCACATGCTGTTTTTGCAGGCATAGCTTGGTCATTGAAGTGAGGATCCAATGAAAAGTGGGTCCTAGTTTTAAATGGCTCCAGGAGTCTTGTTTTATGTTGCTTTTGTACTTAGAGAATTTTGTTATTTTGTTTTTTATTAAATGAGACCCAAGTCCCATTTGATAGCATTTGCTTGTGTTGTCCTAACAGCAGATCATGTACACTGATGTGCAGAGGAACAAACAACTACAAAATCTGTATTAGTGTCTTACACATCACATGCCAATAAAGGTGCTTGGACATGGCAGAGTCTTTTGGTGCTGCCTGTCAATGTGCCTGCATGGGATAAGGGGAATATTTTGAGTGGAAGCTAATTGGTATCAGTCACATTTATTAAAGTTCTAAATTAAACTTAGCTATGCTTTCTTCTTTATGGAAGTCTTTCACTTCAGGAAAGAGGGAAATAACTTTTAAAGAAAATTCTTGCTGCTTATACTTCTGAAACATGTGTATACATTTAAACAACTGTTAGCACTAACCTCTATAGTTCAGTGCCTCCCTGTTTGAACCTTTAACAGGTAATGAAGTTAAAAGTCTGTATCTGTAGGTGTTAAGAGTTCTTATTTCTAGACAACTCCTGGCACATCAGTAACTTATTATTCAAGGATTTTTTTGAATACTTCCTTTTTTATACTTGACATCCTTCAGGTGCTGGTCAGCTTAGTTTTACTTTTAGGAAGAGAGAGAAATAAGTATGCAAATCAAAAATGGAGAATAACTAGTTTCACAACAGTGATCAAAGATGTGGAGGCTAATAGCAAGGTTAGTGCATCTTGCTGGTGGTATGAGTTACTGCTTGAAACCTGCGTGGCCAGGAGCCAGTAACTGCACACTTTAAGACTTTGAAGAGTCCAGGAAAGTGGGCACCTCTGGAGTGCTCAGTAGATTGGATGTTGAAATGGATTTTCTTGGATGAGCCTGTGCCACTCCTTTGTGTAGATACACGAGTTAGGTAACTGAATTGACTACAACTGAGTACACATTTCTACTATTTCATAGCTCTTGTGATTGTATTTCTTCCCCTAGACGTAATGTCAGTTTACATAGTGTTCTCTGTAAGCATAGCTAAGCTGCTGATACGTGAAAGGAGCCCAGCCATTAAAACAAGTAATTGCTTCAGAATTATATGGGGGAAAATAACCATTTTGACCATCTTGTTTTACATCCTGTGGTAAAGAAAGAGCCGTGAGTTTCAGGTGAAAGTAAAAAGTCTTCCAGCAGGAGAAAGCTTGTAGTAGCCAATCTTTTTTTTCCTCTATGTATAGATAAACAGGGGAGGAGGGTGGCAAGTGGGTTAGTTAGCCTTAGCTAAGTTTTAAAAAAACGTTTCCAAGTTCTGAGAGGTTGTGAAAGGAAAAAAAAAAAAAATATTTCATTTGTTTTTGTCAATTCAATTGACAGAAGACTGGGATCAGGGTACCACAGGGTTTGTGTAATCTTCTGTCAAGATGTAGAAGAGTACATAATGCACTTTAATGCATAATGTGCTACATCCTGCTTCAGTGCCTTGTGTGGGAGTAGAGGATTCCTCAAGGTCTGTTTTGACATCAAATCTCTGATTCTGTGCAATGGTACAGCAGTGTCCTTAGCTAGTCCAGGTCGCAGGAACCTCTGAAACACAACATAGTGTGATTTATTTAATACTTAAACATTATCATTTCTGATTTTCCTTTCCTCTTTGATAGGGATGAAGTACGAGCTCCAATTCCTCAAAAACAGGAAATTTTAGTAGAGCCTGAGCCCTTGTTTGGAGGTAGGCCTTTTTTTTTGCTTTCTTTAATTACCTTGAAATCATGTTTATATGATGAGAAAAACAAAATTTCATGGACATGAAGAAAGCAGTGTGCCTATTTATATTTGTTTTTGCCCTGTTGCAACTTTTTAGCCATCTAACATGATTGCATACTTGGAAATATACTGATGTTTAAAACCTTACACATTAGAGGTGCTGTATTCCCAATGGTGTCAATTTGCTAACTCCTTTTTCAGAAGACTTCTTGAGGCACCAGCCAGTTAGTAATGTTGAGTATACATCTGTGTTCCTGGGGTTCAGAACCATGTGATACTGCTGCAAAAATGCTCAGACTGATAGGGTGAATGCTTGGGATTTGGCTGATAAGGGAAAATGGAGAGAACAAATGCATGTTTCTTGAGGAGATCCAGAAAGAAGGGTTGAACTGCATGATTGCTTGTCATTTTCTCAATTTCTCCTTTAGGAATTGAATTTGCACTTTAAACTGCATCACACAGCTGAATTAAGAATCTTGCCCTTTCTATCAATGAAAGACATGGAAATGCTCATCTTTAAAGTGATCCCGTATCCACGGGAAATGCATTTTCTGTTGCTTAGCTCCTGCTAAATAGAATTGTGAGGCCTAGCTTCTCTTTTACTGTGGAACTGGTTCTCACTTGATCTTGTTTTCAACGTCAGAGATTTGTTTTGCCAGCATGCCCAAGCTGAAAGGTGGCTGCAGAAGGTGCCCTGAGGACTCTTGGAAGGCATTGCACTGGCTTCTTCCTCTTGCTTCCTTTGTGACCCAGCAGAGACTTTGACATTAGCTCCATAGGTGCCTCTGGGTTCATGATCCTAAGAAGTACAGGAGTATGATCTGCACTCTTGCCAGGTCCTTTTATACTCATGTCACACACTGAGCACAGACGTGCTGTCCCTGATTGCCCTACTGAGGCAGTCTGTGGTAGCCTCCTGGCTCTGTCTCATCCAACAACTCTAATATTCTCACTGATGCCACTTCTATTTATAGCATGAAGCAGCCCAGCAGCTGGAAAGCTGCCTCACTCAGTCCTTTCAGCTGTAACCTCAACAGGGTATGTTCCAGTTTATGGTTTGAGCAGCTGCATATTGAGGTGCTTGAGTGAGCTTGGATTCTCTTCCAGTTGAGAAAACCTCTATCAGTTTGTACTCTGCCAGATAAACTGAACCACTGCAGAAGTAGAAAATTTATCAGAAAAACATCCATCTGGGTTGCAGTTCACATCTTCACCTGCACTGGACTTGTAGCAGCCAAGACTGGAGATACAAGTGCTGCTTTTGCTGAAGTGCTATTTCAGCTGCTATTCAAAACTGTGGTGTAAATTACTCTGAAGTAATTTACCTGTAAGGGATTGTGCTTGTTGCTAAGCATTTAGAGGAGAGAGATCTTTGCAGATACCGACACTGGATCCTGTGAAGAGCTTGGCTGGGGCCCATTTAGTCGAGTTGGAATGAGATCTGGATAAGTGATTAGAAAGGAAATAGAAATGTGGAAGAAACAAATGCGTTTCCTAAGAAAGAAGGTATTTTCCATCTGAGTTTAATTTTATGAAGTTTTCATCTACTTAGAAATGTTCTTTAAAAATCTTGATGGGAGTCATGACATTTTGATGCTGTCAGCACTGCCACTACATACTGATGTGCCTTTGGAGTGCTTGGTGAGCCCATGAAAAAAGGCTAACTTTACATCATTGTGTACTGCTGATATGTTTTTCTTCCCTACTGGAAAGAAAGGAGGAAATGATGAAGTCCTCATAAGCTTACCTGTTTGATAGTATGCCTTTGAAATAATTACTGAAATACTTTTTTCTTTGAAGCTCCTAAAAGACGCAGACCTGCGCGTTCAATATTTGATGGCTTTCGGGATTTTCAAACGGAAACCAGTAAGTGTCTGCTGATCAGCAACTTAGAGACATTCTCTGTTTGTTTGTTTTTTTAATACAATAACGATTTCAAATTAGTTTCCACTGTAGGCTGTGATAGCTTTCAGTCATTGAATGCTTTTTAATTGCTTACTGCGTGTAAAGTGTTATTTGGGAATAATACTATCAGATTCTCCTTGTTGTAGTGACAGTGCTGTTTGCTGACAATACTCTGTCATGTCTGTGGTACAGTAAATGTCATTAATTTATTTCTGGGGCAACCTTACGTTGTTCTGAAATTGCTAAAGGGAAAGCATTGGTTAATGGATATATGAAGCAGGTACTGAGGATGCTGTGCCAAGTAGTTGCTTGTGCTACACAAGTAAAACCATGAGACAGCATATTCTGCCTGCTTTCCTATGGCAAATGCTTTCTTGATAACTCTCAAAAAAGCCCTTTTCTGCTTTAGGGAGAACTAAAAATGAAGAACAGTCTAATACCTGTGTATAAATTACGTTTACCTATTATTTTTTTCTTTGATAGCCAGTGGTGGCTCTGGCACTTGAATTAGATTTGAGTGTAACCCTGAGGCTTCTTCCTTGGCCTGGTGAATTAGTTCTAGTGAATTTAATCTGTTTACCATTCCCTATCCATTCATTTGCAGGCTCTCCAAAAGACAAAGCACTGGCTGTTATATAAGCATTTAAGTTTCATAGAAAGGGATTTTCTGAGAGCCAAACGCCATTTATTTTGTATCCCAGTTAGATTTGTTATGCAGTTGTTACTACTGATGCTACTGGAGTGCTAAAGAGCTCTAACCAAGGACCTGGTTCCCAAGGAGTTAGGTGCTGTCATATGCTAAACTGAAAATAAGTATTTATCATTTCTAGCTTTCCCCTAACAGCTTTGATCAGTTTTTCAGAAGTAATAATCTAATCAGGTGTTGAAGTCACTGGCAGCTATATATATTAAAATCAAGGATTTACAGAAGCTTCATGCCCTTATTTTTTCTCTCTTATAGCAAAGTCCTTTAGAGTTTCATGGTCTGTAAAACCATTGTGAAACTTGATGTTTTATGGTAAAATTTCATGGGTGAAAATCACCGTCTTGTTATCTCTGAAGAAATGGCCCTAGCCATAAAAGTCCATGTTATTTCCTGGCTCCCAGGCCTACACCACAGGTGCAATTCTATCCCTTTAGGGATCCAGTGTCTGCTCAGCAATGGTTTGTATGCTATGGCCCACTGATGTTTCCTTACACAATGGGAAAGCTTTAGGATCATGTGATGGTTACTCATTTCAGCTGGCTTGCTTCCATAAAATGCATTATACCACTGCATTTTTAGGTGAGCAGTTTCTGTAATTTACCTTATTATATATGGTTGTGTATACGTAGGAAATGTGTTCTGTATTGTTTGGGTGGAAGTGATAACACCAATAGAAACTCAAAATATGGTACTTGGTATAAACAGTCTGAAAACCTCTTAATCTAGCAGAGGCTGAGGTATCCAGAACTGACTGTGGGAAGTGTAGATATTTAATATAAACTTGCAAATATATTTCTCCAAGTGAACTAAATCTTATTGTGGGGAGTGCCTTACCTTCAGGTGTTAGAAGCTTTGAATTAGAAATATACTTAGTAAAGTTGTAATGTTACAGACTAGCTCAGTTGTTCCAGTCTAATAGCATCAGTGGGAGCAAGTCATAGCCTTTTTAAAATTTTTTTGCTTGTTTGTTTTTGAATATTGATACATGACCACCTCTACTAATACTTATACTACCCAGGATGTATTTAAAAGTGAAATAAACACCCACTGCTTGCAAGAGCTAGGACAAGTGGGGATTTTATCTAAAGTAGCAGCTGATCTTCTTCAGTGCAGTCTAACCTTACAGTTGTCTCACCAAAGTTTTGTATATGGGAATATATTCAATTATAAATACATCTTTTGAATATTTTGTCTAACTCAGCTTTGTTTCCTCTTGGGGCTGTGCAGTTCGACAGGAACAGGAACTACGAAATGGAGGAGCAGTAGATAAGAAACTCACTACCCTAGCAGACCTCTTCAGGCCTCCCATTGATCTGATGCACAAAGGCAGCTTTGAGACGGTGAGTTTTTGAGTTTTGGTAAGTTCCCTGTGTGGTGGCTGTGTGCAGTGTGGAAGCCCTTTGTTAGGCTGTGTACGCAGGACAATTAAAAGGCCCTGTAGTGATAAATATTTGATGCACTATCTCTGAAGGTCTTTACTAACAATGGTAGATCACATTTTTATTATGTTTAAATGCTAATAGAGCAAATCACACTTGGTGAAACGCTTCTGTATACAAGTGAGGCTGGCCAGAATGGAAGAACAAATCTCTTGCATGATACAGAAGTAGCTGAAGTAAGGTTGCTTTTTGGTAGGTGAGCAAAAGTACTTTGTAAGGGGCAATATAATTTGCAGCAGAGCCTCTAAAGAAGCTCATGCAGTTTTGGTAATATGGCTAAATAATTTTGATACCAAAGCTACTTAAGTATCTGTGTATGGCATTGTCATGAATGCACAAGTTTATACCAGAAGACGTGTTCTTGTACAAAATCACAGTGGTGATTTTGCCTCTGGTGGTGATGGAAGAATTGTCTGAGAGATTGCCCCTCTAAGAAGGGGAGAGCTAGGGGGGCTGTTTCCAGTGATCTCAAGTGTCACCTTTTCTATTTGTGCAGGGAGCTTTGTGGATCTGGTCAGAATTAGTTATGGTATGAATTAGGGATGTAACTAGTGATTAGAGACTATCCAGATTGGTTTGTGAACATAGTGAACCTGTGGCTTGAGGGACCAATAAAGGGAATTTGCATAGGAACAGCCAGTCCTGCTCTGTACTGAAATGTGTACACACTCAGCAAGTGCCCTCTAATCTCTGCTGTGGAATTTGTTTTCTAGTCTTTCCTAATGTCTTACTGAAAACATGTTAAGACCTTTAGCAGTATTTACTGCCATTATCATAATTCTTTTCAGAGGATGATGTAACTGATTGATATGTTTGATTGCTCTAAAGTCCATGTGTTCTTATTCAGCCTTGTAAATAAAAAAAAAAGGAGGGAGGAGGGGGGGATATGTATACACACCTTGTCCTGTTCTTTGCAGTAATTTAAATTTAGAGACATATGCTTTCTGATATTCATGTTTGCTTTTTTCTGTTCTCATACAGTTCCGTGTCTCATGCGTTACTCTTCATTTCAAAACTTCCTTGCAAAAATAATCTTTAGCTTCTCAGTTTGTGGGCTGTTACCTTTTCCATTTTACCTTCTCTGACTGTACACTGTTGTGCTGCTTCAGCCTGGGATAAAGTCAGGCCTCCTGCGAATCCAATGACCAGAATCTTTCTCAAAATTCAATTCTAACAAGCTGCTGTTTGCTTCTTCCTTCTCTGTTCACTTAGATAAACATCTACAATAACTAAAAAAAAGACTAAATGCTGTCATTTTGAGCACTTTTATTTTAGTACTATCTTGAGTGGTTTTCTTTGTTTTGTTTTGTTTTGTTTTTTTAGTGATTGGTGTGTTCTAAGCTCTGGAGGGCTATGCAAGAAAGTTCCACCAGCATTGTGTCCTGCAGACTTAGATGTTATTCAAACTCAGTAATAATAGTGTTGTCTGGTCTTAGTAAGGTTTTCATGCATCTTTGTTGCTCAGTGTCTGTTAGGGTGCTCTAACTTTGGTTTCTGTGGTAAGTAGGCTCAGCTGTCTTTCGTTTTGCACAAGGAAATACATTTTCCTTTGAATGCAAAAAACAAAACAAAACCCACTGGAGAACCTTAACAATATGATGTGAAAAAGCTGCTATTGCATTAATAAAAAAGAGCATTAATGTTTAACTTCAGATCCATCAAAAACTGGGCCACTTGATGTTAGTTACTGGTGCTGGTTACTGGCTGGTGGCTTGGGGCCATGTAAACCAGGGGCAAATGGCTGACACACCAGCGAGATGTTAACGTGAACTGCCCCTTCTCTCCTATTAGAGTATTTCAGAGAAGCTGAAATGAAACTGCTGAGGGTCAATTCAGATTGCACAAGGGATTTTAACTGACGTTTCCTGACTGTAAAATTGAGCCTTGATGCATATGAAGCTTCACACTCACCATCTCTTTAGCACAGAACCTGCTAAGAATGAGTCACTAGAGCAACAGACCAAACTTACTTTCTAAAGAAGAGTTTGGTTTTGTTCTACAATCAGATATATTTGTTTCTTTGTGTGTATGCTGTAAAATGCAGTTTAATTTGTGGAGAATATGCCCCAAATTGACCTACTTTGAAATTCTTGTTTTGGAAGCAGATAGTTTTCTGTGCTTAATGCTCCTTAGGATTTTGTCACTTCTGTGAAGCAACAGTGTGACGTTGCAGTTTACAGTTTCTCTATATGAAATTTCCTCATTTCACAGGTTCTCTTACTGCTTCCTGCTGATACTGATGGTTTTAAAAACATTTTTTTTTGCTTTTATGAAGCAAGTAGTAATAGCTCAGAAGCTGATCTAGTTTTGTAGTTGAATACTGCAATTATTTTTACATACAGTGCTTCTACACTGTCTAGCTAGACTGTGTGTGCTGGTGTACATTTGGGTAGGGAATGGCTGGGTGATGAAGAGAACCTGGTCTTTCTGTGCTGACCAAGGCAAGGACCATATTATAAATAATATTAATATAAATAGGATGTATCTTGGGAGGCAGATCTCTCATTCTGATTTTATCTTATCTCCCAAACTGAACTATGCTCAACTAGCAGATGTCTGGAACTACATGTTTTTAGTAGTACATGAGCTAGTTTCTCCAATGGGAGCCAGCAATGAGTGTAAAATAACTTTCCTTACTTTGGCTGGCTGGATTGCTGGTCTGTTGCCCTAAGTTGTTGTGATGAAAAAATGTGGATGCCTAGAAAATGGGAAGGGGAATTTAGAGGACATGGGTGGTTTTTTACATCTGTCATGTGGTATTTAAGAATCACTGCCTCTTTTTTTGAAAGCTCCCTACTCTGCTATCTAAAGTGTGAATTAGAATGCTTGTAAGGAGCAGTTGCTCTGTTCTTATCCTGTTTGGATGCTGTTTTAAGTGCTAGGTGCTCTTACCTCACAGAAGGAGAAGTGATGGTGGTTGGGAACTGGTGTAGGAAGCTGTTTCCGAAGCCATCAGACATCACCTGCAGACTATGCAAGCCAGCTCTTGAGCCCTGCAGTGTTATTTTGGTCATTGATGAAAATGATCCATCAGTATAATCTCTATACCCACAATATTTCTTCCCTCTATACCTCCCTACCCTTAAAGCAGACCAATATCTGTGTAAGAGCATGGTTATATATGTGTGTGAGATGGTAGCAGTATAACTGTTGTCCTCTTAAATGTTAAACATGAAACCTATTGCTTTTACAAGGAAGTTAAAAGGAGTTTCAAGAGCTGGACCTGCTGTACAGTTGAAAACTCATCTTTCCAAAAATTGCGTGTGGAATTTCCTGCTTGCACCCTTTCAAGTGCAGTAGCTGGATGGAGGAGAGGAGGAGTCAGGTTTTCTCTAATGTTAAAAAATATGCAAAGTGTAGAAGAGTGAGATGCACTTCCAGGTATGCTAGTATGTATTTTTGAGTTTTTTCATTTAGTCACATATGGATCACATTAGAACGCAGGACTAAGGCAATGTGATTAACTGAAGCTGCATACTGACAATGTTCCCCTTAGTTTTGAGTGGTACCTCTGGGCCTCATCTTAAACTGATTGCCTAGAATTAGTTCTCAAATCCCCCAGTTAGTTTAAGATAATTTTTTTAAAATAAAAGAATAATGAATATGTTTAAAACCATTATCAGTTACCCAGGTGTCACCTGCAGCATTTTTCCCCTCTGGAAACCAAATACAGGCTTCTCACATGGTAACATTAGTGATGCCTGCGAGAACAGAATGAGTATTCCACGCTTCTACATTCATTATTTTTTCTGTAACATTTTTCCTTTGAATGAAGTAAAAATTGTCTGCAGGTCCTTTGGCCACACAGAATATATTTTGTAGACCAAGATCTGCTGAACAGCGAGCAAGCTTCTAGTTTAAAATTTCCTGGTTTATCAAGTGCGTCGAGGCTTACACTTTGTTGAGCTAAGTGGATGGGGTTCATGCAGCTGTCTTGCATCAGACAGACTGACTGTTCTGAGGTGTGCTGGCTAAAAATCCATCTGAAATTAAAAACTTTGGTTTGGGGAACAAACTACCACCAAAAACAGCAAAATCTTTTGTAGCATTCTGATTACTTAAATTTGCTGTTAGGTGCCTTGCCAGCAGGATGGTGAATGCACTTATAAATATATGCATACTTTTTTAAAAAAGGAAGGGACATTCATTTGCAAGTTCCAGTCTCTCCAGGTGGTAAGAGCATTCCTGCTGTTGATATAGCCCTCTTTTTTTCAACAGGTATGGCAATTCAGCGATCAGAATTACATTCTTGATCAAACTCCTACCATTATCTTGCCACCAAGCAATCAGACTATGCCAGCTTTGTGACTCAAACCAGTAAGATTTCTTCCTGCACCTTCCCGTCTTCCTCCCAACTTGCAGTCTGGATAAGGAGCATCAAAAAAGGATGCCGAGTTTGGCAGTTACACAGTAATAGCGTAACTCAAAACCTTGAGAGAGAGGGGAAAAAACAAACAAAAAAAAACAAGAGAGGAGGTCCTATTGCATTTATGCATATCCTCTGTCAATTGTGTTGTCTGCTTAAGTAGATGATGATCCACAGGTTTATCTCTGGAGTGAGCAGGTCTTTCCTCTGTTGTCAGATTGGTGTGGTTGACTACACTCTTCCCTGAACAAGTACTTAATTCAGTGTCTTTCCCCACAACTCGCTGCCCTGCCCCACTGCCAAAGCTGCTTTTCCCACTCTGTGCTTGGCTTGTTGAACTCCAGCAGCTCTGTTCATCGATGTGATTCTGTAATTTAACCAATCTCATTTAAGCAGGTCTTTCAGCCCTGCCTTCTGTTTTGTGGATGCCTTTGCGCTAGCTCGGTCCATCTTTCTCACTCTGAAGGGGTTTTGGTGAAAATTCTGACACTGCTAGAAGCCATCACTGATCATTGCTGGCATTGTTTATGTCGTGCTCTTCAGTGTTAGCTGATGAAGCTTTTCTCTCTGCTTACAGGCCAAGGAGTGTGGTCAGATGCAGAACAAATGGCTCATGATAAACATTCAGAACGTGCAAGATTTTGCGTGCCAGTGTCTGAACCGCGATGTTTGGAGCAATGAGGCTGTGAAGAACATCATCAGGGAACATTTCATTTTTTGGCAGGTAGAATCACAGAATTCTGTGGGTGGGAAATTTAACAGAGCCACACCAGTAACTTGATGTCCTGTTAGGTGGGACAGTGAAAACAGATATCTGTGATTTTAACGGCACTCCTGTGGTTCTCTTGGAGAATTGCAGAGAATAAGGGTATGCATTTTAATGCCTAAGCAGCCTTTTACTTCTGATTGAAAATGTTATTGCTTAACCACTAATACATATACTGGTAGGGGTGCATGTTCAACTTGTAGAAGTTGCTGAGACTTGTGTTTACCATTTGTTGCATGCACTGTAAAATAGACAATAACTCAGTATGTTTTCATGATTGTTTGTGTTCCCTTTTCACTCAGTAACTTGCTTTCAATGTGGTATTTTGTAGGTCTATCACGACAGTGAGGAGGGGCAGAGGTACATACAGTTTTATAAATTAGCAGACTTCCCTTACGTCTCCATCCTGGATCCCAGGACAGGTAAGATAAGAGACAGTTACTTGGAGTGGCAGCTGTGAGCTGAAGTGCTGTCATCTTTGGCAGTGTTACACTGCAGCTGAAGCTTTTTCGTTACCACATTTGTCCTGTGAGACTTCTCATCCCTGAAGAAATGAACTAGTAACTTCTGGAGGCACTAAAGGAACAAAACTCCCAAGTCTTTCTGAAATGCTGTGTTTGATTATGGTACTTGGTATAGCTTATCGAGTACTTTGTGTAGAAATTGAAAATAGTACCACCTGGTGGTGAAACTCCAAAATCAACATTTTTTTGTAAGTGGTCTTTTAAAAGCTACTTGAAATCTTGTGATAAACTATCTTAAAATATTTGTAAGGTCACTTACCCATGACATGAATACAAATCTGCAATCCCATTCCTGTCACAGTAGCTTAATGAGGCTTAGAGATGACTTATTAAATTGCATCTGAATTTTCAAATACCAATTTGATTGTTCAGTTAAAAAATAAATAAATGTTACCTTTTTCTCCATTGCTTTGGAAGTTGGACCTTTTTGTTTTGTATGCCAACACTCTTGCCTTTTCTGTCATCATAGAAGGCTGCTGTAATAATGGTTTGGTCTTATGCTACTCAGGAATTGAAGCAGTAGTTTCTTTAGTCAGAGCTGAAATTTCTCACCATTTGATTTAACCATCTCAAAACATTTTTTGTTGTTGTTGAAGCTGAAGTTAAGATACTCTTCTTAGCACTAATGGAAGCAAATGCTGTTTACCAAGATGCAGAATCGAAACAGACAAGAATGTATAACTTCTTCATAAATTTAGTGTTTTGTATTTTTTAATTGTAATATCCAATTCACCTTTCTGGATGCATATTTTCTCAGGAAAGAACAAAAAATAAGGCTTTTTGAGGGGGTAGAGGGAGGAAGCTTTGTAATTATCAGGTGGTGGTCCGTAGGCAACTGCAGTTCCACAGATGTGGATTCTTGCATAATACATGGACAGAAGTGAACTGATGTTTTTGACAGCTATGCTGCAGTCTTTGAGGAGTTGTTGCTGAAAATAGATGATTTCTATTTCTAAATTCACGATGCTGTATGTTTCCCAGGCCAGAAACTAGTGGAGTGGCACCAACTGGACGTGACGTCTTTCTTGGACCAAGTGACAGGGTTCCTGAGTGAGCACGGACAGCTGGATGGGCATTCTACCAACCCTCCCCAAAAATGCTCCCGTTCGGTGAGTAGGAGGACTGCAGAAACCTGAATTAAAATGTGGTGTGTCTGTATCCAGCTGTACTGGTTTCCAGCCCGGTAGTGTATAAACAGACTTAACAAATTAGTGGAAGAGTGTGCAAAAAATGAAAGTAATGCACTAAAGGAGTGCTTTCTACCTCGATAGATACCCCATGGCAAGGGGTTGGAACCAGATGATCTTTAAGGTCCCTTCCAACCCAAGCTGTCCTGTGATTCTGTTTTTTTATGCAAACTGTTCTATCAGGAAGTGTTTCTAAATGAGAAAATGATTCATCATTTGTTTTGTTACATTTGTTTGACTGTTTGTTAACAGTCACAGGATTGTGTCTGTGTGGGAAGACGACATATTACTCCATGTGAAGTTCCAGGGAGGAATCATTAAGCAGTTACAGGATGACTAGCTTTCCATGCTGTTTCTTCATGACTGTTTTAGTAGCTTCCCTTTGGAATGTTTGATATCGTCTTGATTTTCCTTATGTCTGAAAATATCTTTATGCCTTTTTCCTATGTCTCTGTTCAACAGGAGAGCCTCATTGATGCCAGTGAGGACAGCCAGCTGGAAGCTGCTATCAGAGCTTCGTTACAGGAAACACATTTTGATTCCTCACAGGCCAAGCAGGAGAGTCGATCAGATGAGGAATCTGAGTCAGAGCTTTTTTCTGGAAGTGAAGAGTTTATTTCTGTTTGTGGATCTGAGGAGGAGGAGGAATCGGAGAATCCTGCCAAGTTGAGGAAGTCTCCACACAAGGACTTGGGGTATAAAAAAGAGGAAAGCCGGAGGCCTCAGCCTGAGCCCCCTGCAAGGACTGAGCCTGGGACAACATCTAATCATAGGGTACTGCCCTGCATTGATGCAGGGGTAGTGGAGGAGCCAGCTGACAAGCCTGAAAGTATGTTGCAGGGCCTAGATGTGAATGGTGAGTGGCCACGGATTGTTTTTATTTCTTTTTCGTAGTGACCTTTGTTTTGCTTTTGTTCTGAAAACTTTTAAACTCTGACAAGCATAGTTTCAGCCCTTGTTTTGAAAAGCTAAACCTTTCCTTCTGTCTCACACACTTGATGCTAGATGTTAGGATGATTTACTTTGTCAACACTTCGATGTAGTGATTTCATGTTAGTCCCTGAGCTCACATTCCTTAGTTTGAGACCTTGCTGTTGGATGAAATTCACGTGGGTATAATGCAGGCAGCTGTGACAAGGCTTCTACCAGTGTGGTAGAAGTGAAATAATGTAGCTCCACCTCCTGCCTGGCTTGACTGCCTTGAGGGGCTGGACTTTTGCTTATACAAACAAATCCCAGGAGTCTGTGTTCCTCCTTGCAGCTGTGAGCTGGCATGCAGCCCTGTGAGATGCTCTCAAAGGCAGAGGTAACACAGTGTACTTTTCTCTGGGAAGCCAGACTGATTTTGTTCACTATTGTGAACTCCTGAGCATATTTTAAACACGTGCAGTACAAGTATCTCTTCAGAGATTGAAACACTGTGTGCTAAAAAGTTCTGTATTTGTCTCCAGTCCCTACTCTTCTATGCAGTGAAGTGTGCCACGACCAAAACTACAGAAAGCACCGTTCAGTTGCCTTGTTTGTTAACTTGTTGTAAATTCCTTTGTACTAGGACCAAAGGCACAGCTGATGCTAAGGTATCCAGATGGAAAGAGAGAACAAATTTCACTGCCCGAACAAGCTAAACTTCTGGTGAGTGGGGTTAATTGGAATTCCTTGTTTGAGTACAGGGGAGCTGAAAATGGAGAGTTTATTTTCCTGTGGTGGCACCAATCACATTGGTGAGAGAAATGTTTATGTCCTTTGAAGAAAATGAGACTATACAACCTGGTCTGCAAAACTCCAGGTAGAGACTGACCTTGTTTCAAACTCATGTTTTCACCCTTACTATTTTACATGAAAGCTTTAAATAGAAAACAAAAGTTATCTTAAATCCAGCATCAGCTCTCTCAAAACCAAGCGTCATTTCAGAGGTCAACTTGGAATTCTGTGGCTGAAATAAATTCTGAGGGACACTTACTGTAGGCAACTGCTTTGCTTTGTCAGGCTTTCATTCTTACTTTGTCATAGCAGTCATCTCTATAATATTTCTCAAGTAATCTTAACTTAGGTGGAGCCACGTCTTTCCAGTCCATCATCTGTGCAACTGCATCACCCCTCAGGCGCTCCCCCTGCACTGATGCCCCAAGACACTGGACTGTTTATTCTGCCTGAGTTTTGCTCTCTCACTGTTCTCCCTGGCGTTCCTCAGCTTATCTTCATTCTCTGTCCTGTCTACTCCTACTTTACCCTCTCATCTGCTGTGTTTGTTAATGAACTTGGGAAATCTCTCTTGTGTGGTGTGGGCATTAGCTCTTCTGGTGTGTCTGTTTGTTGGGTTTTCTGATAGCCCATCATCCCAATACCCTCTGTATCCTTCCTGGATTGTTACTGTAGGCAGAGAAGTCAATGAGCTGAGAATTGCTTTTGAAAGAAAGGAAGAGAAGGATCCTTCCTGACCTCATGCTTCTTTGAAGGCAGGAAAATATTCAAACCTTGAGTAAAAAAGGCTGTATTTATCAGTGTTACCTGACAAAAATACTTCTTTGGTGCCTTTTAGGTTTTACATAAAGGTAATGTCAGTAAACAAGTGAGGGGGCTTTTATTTTGGGGCACTGAAGAGATTGTTTTGCAACTTTCATTTTGCTGTGACTGTGTGATGTGGAATTCACATTACTTAAATTAGTGTACTGTTATGTATATCTTCTGTTTAAATGATCTGTTAGATAATTAGCTTCTGTGTTTTACTACATAAAGGACCAAATTATATAGTGAAGAAGTTGAGATCTGCATTACATGCAAATTTCTCTTCTCTGCGATAACAAACTTCTCTTTTAAGAGGAAACTGGGATAATTTTGTGACACTTTTTGTGGGTTGTTGTTTGTTTTAATTGAATGACCCTTTTTTGCCTTCCTTCCTCTGTAGGCTCTTGTGAAACATGTCCAGTCAAAAGGATACCCCAATGAACGCTTTGAACTCCTCACCAACTTCCCTCGAAGGAAACTCTCTCACCTGGACTATGAGATCACATTACAGGAGGCAGGCCTGTGTCCTCAAGAGACTGTCTTTGTGCAGGAAAGGAATTAGCACCGTGGCCTGAGTTCTCCCAGCCTTCCTCCCCTCTCCTCTTTGCCTAGGACACCAACTCATTGATATGCAGTTGAGGGTCATAGGATTGCAGTGCTAAAATCAGGCAGGCAGCTGTCTGGCCCTTCTATCTCTTCTTCCCTTCTGCTCTAGCGACAATTGAGCGTGTTCAGAGTTCTGTTTTTGTTCTCAGCTTGGGCCCTGCAGAGAGCATTGGGAAGAACATCTTTCCTTTGTTTTCATGGAGTAAAGTAGAACGATGATCTATGTATCCAGTGTGCTGGGACTTGGAGTGGCCATAATACACACACACTTCTCGCTGCTATTCTTAAATCAATTTCACTTAATTTATATTTGAAAATACTGTGTGATATGGCACTGAGTCACCTCTCTGTAAGGAGAGAGTGTAATCTTTATTACAATCTTTCCTTTGCTTTGATTCTCTATGTGAAAGGTCTCCATTAACCTTACAGCGTTTTCACATACCTTGCAGTCTGCTGAAACTTATTTTGGAAAGGAGTTGAGGAGCTGTGGCAAGATGCTCTGCCCCTACCTAATAGGCTTCTAGGCTGCATGCATGCTTTCATCATCCTTTAAATGCTGCCAGTGGACACGGGTTTTGTTGTTGTTTATGAAAAAAGCAAGTATCCCCCTCCCTCCAAAAAAAAAAAAAAAAAAAGACTTGAAGTTGTGTCTACTGTTGCTGCAGTACTGACTCCTTCCTGCAAGGAGGGGGAAATTCCATCTGTTTTTTCCCTTTTTTACTTGCTTTCAGGATTTTACAACTGACAATAGAAGGTGGCATGATTCAGTGAAAACCTTGGGAGTGTGGAAAACATGGAGTAAACTTTACAAGTAGTTGGCTTTTTTCCCCCCTCCTTCTGTATGTCACTGCTGCACCAGGGGTGACTAATTTGTAAGTGGTTTTAGAGCACAGGCTGCAGTTAGGCAGGACAGCAAGTCCTAGGCAGGGTTCCTGTCGTTAATTCAAAACATAAATAGCCTTGTCAAAACTGTGGAAGGAATTAGTGCTTTATAAAAGACTTTATAGCCTGGTGGCAGCTCCAGGCTGCTTTTTATTCTATTGTAATCTTAATCTGCTGTCATTTACCACTAAATCTGGAAGGATGTATTGAAAACTACTCCTTTATTTGTGTTTTCATTTCAGCTATGAAAACTGGCAGCAGAATTCATGCAGGCACATCCTGTGTGTACAGTAAGTGCCCTGTTTTCCCAGTGTCTCACCTAGACATTGAGCTGTTGGTCACCTGTTGGTATGGTATAGGTTACAGGAAACAAAAGTCAGTTAACACTGCCATCTGTGTGATGGATGTTCAGTGTGTTTATTTACAATTAAGAATCCAATTCAGCATTCTTCGTCAGGGAGGAAAAAGAATACAAGTCCTTCTCTAACTGTTTCTATAACAGATGGTTATGTGTGTGACTTCAGTGGTCAGAAGTTTTCTATAGCCTGAAACTTTTCAGGATATTTTTGTGTTTAATTTCATACCAGCCTTTTGAGTCTTTAAATAGAGAAAGCCACGGACAATGTTTTGCATTCCCCATGATATAACAATATAGTTGTGTTCATTCTCCTTCTGCATTAACATCTTTGCATTCTACTGCAAGGTACAGTATTATGAAAACAGAATCTGATGGCATTTTCCTGATCAGTGAGTGATGTGACATCAGATGCCGTTTTTGGTTTGTAAAGAGCTCCTTTTACAGGCTGTTTTGCAGCATTAAAGGGTGAATGACAAGGCCAGCAGATGAGTGATTGTTTGTGTTTGGCCTCTGGAGCAGCAGCAGCACTTCTAGACTGAAAGGTATTCATAGTACTTCTAAAATATCCAAATTCTTGTCTCACGCCTAAGAGTAGGAGAGTAGGGCAGTAGGAAACCCTTTGTGTATGATACTTTCTTAGGTAATTTCAGCTCTCCAGTTGAAATATCTTACAATGATGTTTGTTCCCTTGAAACTTGCTGCCTCTTCTTCAGTGGTTTGCTGCAAGAAAACAAAAGTGGGCTGTCAACAGGAAACAGTACCTGACATCAGCATGATACCTTTTCTTGTCCTTCAGGCAGGCTGAGATGGGAGCATGTTGACTTTTCCTGCTCTCCTGCCATTGCCTGCCTGTATACAGCAGGGAGCTTTTGCACTCCACTTGTGTCTCTCAAGCTGTGACTGGCTGGCTGGATCCTGGTACTGGCCAGGATGGGGTTTGCATCTGCTCTGAGCACATTGTTCCACATCAACTTTTCTAGTAGTGAATTTAAACATAGAAAATTGACTCTGTTGTTTCAGTCCTATGCCTGTTTCATTGATAGCTTCTCTTTTGACCCTTCTCCCTAGTTTTACTAATGTACATAGGCTTCAGCAATTAGATGTAAAAAAAATAACTAATGGCTGCATCAGGGAAAGAGGGAAAACTGCATTGCAGGCAGGAGCATGAGCTTCATTTCTGTTGCTGAAGACCAGTGTGGCCCTATATTATGAGCTTTCCTTTCTGACCCCATTTTCCAGAACTAGGAGCTGTGGAGCTGACACAGCTTTCTTTAATCTATGCTTAGCTGTAGGATCATGCTGTCAAATCCAAAACAGGAAGTTCTGGTTTAGCATCTCATTGCTTTTGTTATGCCAGGAGCAGCTCAATCATCTCGTGCAGAGGGAACCAAAAGTTGCACTTGGCTGTAGCAAGGTTTTTGCTGATCCATCAAGACTGAAAGTCTTTTGCTTCATTTCCTGACTTCTTCTTTCTGTCTCTTGACTTTTTATTAGCAAGTAGCAATTCTTTTATAACTGATCAGGAAGTGAAGAATGTTGAGAAAAAAGAAACTACATTAAAAATGGGATTTTTCTTTCATTTCGGATATGGAGTCAGAATTATTTTGTGACAGTTCCTAATGGTTTGTTCTGCTCCGAGAAATAATGAGCTAATTCCTTGTTGAGTTTGTTTCTCAGGCATGCTGTGGTTTCTTTTGGTTTTCTTTTGCTTTGATCTGTGAACTGGAGGCAGAGAGAAGAGGTCTTGAAGAGATAAGTGTCCCTGTGCATGCCTCTTCTCTCTTTTCATTCTTTTCCCTTTTTTCCCCCTTATTCCCACCCCAGTAAAAACAGAGCCACAGCTCACATCACCCAGCTGTTCTCTGCTGATGAAAGCTGTGAAGAAACAGCACCAGCCAGGGTACAGCTCCTCAGATTTTCATTCAAAGCTCTTCGGAGTTTGGAGAAACATGTTTTGCTGGCCTGAAGAATGTGGCTGAATACATTATCCAAGCTAAGCATGCAACAGCTTGTAGCTGGGAAGGTGTAAGCCACCTGGACTCAATTTAGAAAGAGCCTTGGTCATGGTTGCTTCTGAATGTTAAGTTTGAAGCTCAAGTTACTTTTGACAAGGCTGGAAAAAACGCCTTAAATTCCTAATTTCAGAATAAGTTGAAGTTGGAAGGACAAAGGAAATCATCCCTCAAGTGTCTGTGGTTTGTGGTTTGCAGTGTTGTTTGGCCACAGTTTATATGGCAGAGAACTGCCATGAGCAGAGGTGCACTTAGACAGTAGAAGGCTTTGTTGATAGGAAGCTAAAGAGCTAATGTGCTTCAAGCTGCAGCTTCTAACTGCTTGCAATGAAACCTTCTTTGCATGTGTTCTTCATCTAGCTTGTTTTTTTGTTTTGATATTTAATGTCTAACTGGCTTATTTTTACAGTCACAACCAGTATTCAGATACAGAGCACTACCAGCTGTACCTCACTTTCTTTGCCAGTTGCTGTCAGCACTTTTTTTTTTGGCTTCCCACTCACAGACCTCCAGAGGTCCAGGGAAGGATTTTGGCTCTTCCTAGAGGTACCTGCTCTCAGCCAGGCTGACCAACCAGCTTCAACCCATTTGCATTCTCTCCTGGAGGAAAGAGGGCATCTGAAGGCTGTGTCACAGGTTGCTGGATGTGCCTGTGTTGTTTTCATTTAGGCTTTCAACTATGGTCTGTGATTCTACATTTCTGACATTTATGGACTGAATAATGTCATGCTTCCTGGTGAAAAATCTGATAAGCTGACAACCTTGGTATTGAAAGAATGCATGTGTGTAGTAGTTTTGTAATACAGAGCTGTCTACAGAAAGGCAGCGATTTTTAGACATAAATGGCCATTTTGATTATGCATCAGCTCACCAAATTAACTAATTAATTAACTGAATCAGTGTCAGTGCACATGCTCCTCTGCACCAAGTCATACCAGCTTTCACATTTACAGGTGCTGTGGTTTGTATGCATGCTGCCATCAGAAACTGGCAGCTGGTTTTAGCACTTAATGAGTAAACCTCACTGCTGATGGGTTCTCAAATAGACTTCTTAGAAAACTTCCATGCAGTTGTGTGCTTTGCTGTTTGACATACTTTCTGACTATTCAAAACTTCTTGCTTGAAGTACGTATGAGTTATGGGTGATGAAGTAGAAAAGTTAATCCTGAGAATGGGGGCTTTCCTTTCTAGTTCTTTAAAGAAAAAGTCATCTCCATGCAGGAGTTCTTTGACCACAGCTGCTGTGCTGCAGAGGGCACGATGCATTGCTTGCAGCTCTTGCAGGCAGCACATTACAGCTGGTTCTGAGAGCAGGCTCCTTATCTGCTGGCTGGGATGCTTTGTCCTGGCTCACTGAGTTTGTTCTTGCTGAGCTGGACCACTGAGTTGGGTTGGAAGAACTCAAGAGCAACAAGGGCTCCACCCCTTCTTGTGGGGCAGGAAATCCCAGTGAAGCATCCCTTCAGCTGCTTTTTGACAGGTGCTGAACGCTGCAACAAACAGGCAAAATGCATCTGATGTTTTTCCAAACCATGTGGGTTTCTGTTATCTGTCTTTATGTGGGGAAGTCCCTGTGGGTGGGAGGATGAGTGTCATTTAAGGAACTTGAAGTAACAGCTTGTTACTGCTTTTTTTCTTGTTGCAGCTCTATCCTTGTTTAATACCTTTTTAATCATGCTAGTAATAAAGAATAGCTCTGTATGCCGAAGAGAGGAGAGGTAGCTGAAATGGAGGTGGAGAGCAAAGTCTATTGTGAAGATTGGGTATGCCTTGTCCAGTTGTTTTTCAACAGAAATGATTTTCTGTAGGTGTAGATTTGTCTTAAAGACAGTGCAAAACTCACATTGTGAGATGTTGGCCATCTCTGTTGGAAATTCCTTCAGCTGCATTTAGAGTCAGCCTAGAAACATTTCAGTGATGACTGTGAAGGTCTGCTATAAGGTGACTGTAAGGTGAGCTGTAGCCTGTTGTTTTGTGAGGACAGCTTTGCAGGGGCTGAAAGCAGGATCTCACTGCATCCTGCTGCCTGCTCCCAAGCCTGAAGGTTAATGGATTCCCTTTCTGTGCTGTGCTGCAAGATGACTTTTAATCTCGTCTCCTCTTGCCCGTGAGGTGCTTAGTGTCTGTCCACTTCCCATAAATATAGCCATATGTATATACATGTATATACACACACATATTTGTAATTGGAGGATGTGGCACTTAACATCAGTGCCCTGGCTTGCCTCAGTTCTATCTTCTGTTTGCTACCGGTACATTGTTAGTAGTCACAGAAGTTTGGGATTTGGTCACTATCTAATTACTGTGTCTGCATTACAAGGAAGAGCAATTTTGTATCTGCCTGCTAAATGGTGCTGAGATTTTATGGAATAGGATAGCTAGAGGAAGGACATGGAGCAGGGGGACGAGGTGCTATTTTATAGAACAGCTCTGGATGAAACAGATCTGTGTAGAGCATGCCTCAGAGGCGTGGTGTCTAATCAGAGACACCAGACTGTACGACAGATGACTTTCTTAATGAGGCTGTGTCCTCTCATGGGTGAACTTACAGTTTCCAAATTTGGGCTTCGCCTGCCGGTTTTTACACTAGTCACTTTTTCCTTCAATGATGCAACTTCATGCTGGAGGAGGGAGAGAACTTAATTTGGGTGTTTTCAGCTCACTGTGCTGGGAGGGACCAAACTCAAGGAAACCTCTGATCTATATACACAACTGCTGCATTTTTTATAAATATATGTAAATGTCCTATTGTAATATTTGATCCTGGAAATAAAACAAACTGTTTTCACTACCTTTCTTCATTTCCTGAGATTCTGTTTTGTTTGATTTCGAACTAGAGTCTGTCCCTACATTATATTGAGAGGTTTTGAGTTTTTCCTTTGCGGGGTAGAAGGAAAGGAAGAGCAGGACTTCTCTGTTTCTATGTATCTGACTGTTTAACCTGTTCATACTCCCCAGAAAGCTTTGGAATAGGGTAACTGTGTCAATGCCATGCTGAAGCCTTAAACAAGTGTTCCCTGTCACTCATTTCAAGCATGCACTCGAGAAAAGCGTAAATGTGCTTGGCTTGGCGTGTCCAAACCCAAAGCTTTCTCAGGAGGGGAAGCTTCAGGATGAGTGAGGATGCCCTTTGGGAAGATACCAGCATCCGAAGGAAGCTGTTAGGCTAGCCAGCTCTCCAGGGCAGTGTTGGAGGAGACTTAGTCTTCTGTTTTTAGCTTGTGCTCCTCTCCTTGCTATGGTAAAGAAGGAGCCAACTCCAGTGTCTGTGAGGGAGGCTTGCTTGTGCACTCCTACTGATCTCTTCAATCCAGCTTAAGAAAACATTTCCCATTCTGACCAAGTTGAAAATACGATTTTATCACAGGCAGGGAGCTGTGGGATAGATCCATAAGGTATATGTCACTTCCTTTTTTTCCCATGTTTTTCCTTTCAGCCGATCCAACTTTCAGCCTTGTGACTTGTAATGGGATTGGTTTATCTCATCTGAAGCAGTAATTTTATGAAATACCTGAGGAAGTTAAAGCAAATGCCATATTGTCCAGGTGCAGCATGTTGGTGTTTCTTCAGTCTGGGTTCTAACCCCAAACTCAGCACAGGTCAGAAGAGGTCACTTTGGGCAGTGAACATTCCTTCCTGTGGATAAGTTTTAGTGGTGGAAACTGAGTTATGGATGCTACCAGGAGGAGCGGGAGAGACACTGAGTTGTGCTGAGCACAACTGGACGTGGTGGCTGAACCATGGGCTGCAGAGAGCATCGGGTGTGGTGGGATAAAACAACCTGAACAGCTCAGATCAGTGTTGGTCAGCATCCTTGCAGCTGTGACCTGCTGTCAGAGAAGGAGTTGGCTTGAGGATCTCACTGGGGCAGTATCGCTATTCATGGAACTACACTTGCAGTATCTTGGCTGGGTGACTTGGCAGAAAGTTATCTGACTAATTGCTGCGCTTACACTTTCATAATCGCGTCCTTAAGCTAAGGAGGGAGTCGTGCTCGTGAGGCTGCTCCATTCTGTGCTAAAATTAGCTCTTTTTTTTTTAACTATTATTAGAGAATTGTGCTGGAGTGGCGGTAAGGATCAGCATTCTTGGGATAAAGATCCGTTTGACGTCTCATGAGGTGTGATTGACCATCGTGTGTGGGAAGCTTGTTGCCGTGACGTACAGGACATGAGATGAAATTGCAACACATTTTCTTCCTGTAAAGTGGAAAATGCTTCCTCTCAATGTAAAATGTAGAGAAAGGAGAAAAGGAATTATTCCCTGCTGTCAGGTATCCTACGTGAGAATGCTTACTCCTTACTGCCGTGTGGAGCCTGAGGGCTACAGCTCCATTTTCTGTTTCTCTGGTGGCACGGTGTACTTCAGGCAGGTTTTATAGTCTCAGTGTCCCTGTCCAAGTTGGTCTGAAAGCAGAAAAAGCCGTTTGGAACCAAGTTGGGCAATACCACTTGCACGCATTACTCCAGGTAGAACAAGTTGGGCGATATACCATGTATAATGTCTTGGAGCAGCACTGTACCTGTGGCACTTCCAAATGTTTGCTATCCAGAAATGACCTCTGCAGTAATGGCAGCAGCCAGCCGAGGTCTTGGGAGTCATCTTCTTCTCTGAAACACCTCATGAGATACAGCTGCATCTGCTGCAGCCTCTGACACGCTGCCTCACTGTGATGAGTCACCACCATCTTGCTTAAAAATGAATCCCTGCAAGCAACAAGGCACCGTTGCACTGTGCATCCATGTGGCATGGGTTGAGGTGAACAGCCAGGCCCTACAAGAGCATCCTGCAACTGAGCAGCAGTGCATTGCTGGCATTCTTCACTGGCTAAGGACCTACACAGGAGTCCTGCTGGACTTGTGACAGCAAGAATTGATGTCTTTTCTTGCAGTTTGCATGGCTGGTGGGTCTCCCCCTGCACAGGGAGCTGTGTTGCTTCTCCTGTTTTTGTTCGCTTTCTGGATCTGCTTTTCCTGAGACAGTTTCGTTGTAAAGGAAACCAGTAGTGCTGCTGGTGGGGGCTGCCCCGGCAGAGGAACAGTCATCCTTCCTCATGAGCTGCTGGTTTTGTGGATGATGGTGTGACATGACTGATGCAGTGGGTGGATGTCTGGGATGGACATCATAAATAGCACCCGTGGGAGAAGCCTCAGCATTCTTCCAGGACAGAGCTCTGCTGGGGAAGGGTGAGAAGTTCTGCTTTCACACAGCCAACACCTCCCAGATTTGCTCCCAGGTAAGCCTGGAGGGAAGCAGGATGTTATTCTCCAGACACTGCTTGAATCCTTTTGCTTTAGTCCGTGGATTTGGCTGGTCATTTCTGTGCTGAGCAAGGGAGGAGATTCCCCCAGGGAGAGGGGAAGGGAGGACGAGAAATCCCTGGTGAGGCCTTCCAGGGGACCTGCAGCAGGCCTGAGGTTGGAGCAGCCCCGGGTGAATTCCAGGGAAGGAGGAGCTCTTCCAGAAGGTCTGCAGAGGGGCGATGGACTCAGTGCTGGGCCGTCCTGGCTCTAGGAGAACAACAGGAAGAGTGAGAGGTCTTGGGTTTGTTACAAAGCTGAGAATGATGGAAAGCAGGAAGGAGATAGAGCTGCCTTGGATGGATGGGTGGTGGAGCTGGTGGTCTGCCTTGGAGCTCCCAGCTATCAGCAGCAGTGCCCTCACGTTGGGTTGGCAGCCCGATTCCTCCACGGGAGTGGGGCTGTGACGCAGCTCTTCCCATGGAAACAACCACGCAGCACCCCATGGGTTCTGCTTCTGCAAAGCCAGAGCCGCCGCCTCCTCTCTTTTCCATGCAGGTTGGTCATGTGTGTAGGGAGATGCAGCCGCATCGTGGGCCCCTGCTTGCTGGTGCTGGGCATGCTCTCCGTGGTGGCCAGCATCCTGCTGCTCTTCCCCGGTGGGTCCTGGCAGTACCTGGTGGATGGGCACATCAGCAGGCGGGCAAAGATCATGCCAGGCACCTGGGGAGGTGGCGTCATGGTAAGCACCATGTCTTGCACGGCATCATCCAGCATGCACAGAGCAAGGACAAAGAGCAGGATTAGGTGTCCTGCTTTTGTTCTCCTTTGTCCCCACAGGCCATTTCCTTCTTCCTGCAGGTGCTGCTGGCAGCTACCCACATCACTGCTGTGGGATGGCGATGCGCCTCCTGCTCTGACTGCGGCACCCGTCGGAACGTAAGTCAGGGTGGAGGTTGTACCAAACAGTGTGGGGTGGGGTGTCCCCTCTCCTGTGGGTGTGTGGTGGTGGGGTTTTGTAGGGTGCCTCCTTTCCCTTGGTGGGATGTAGTATGGTGCCCCTGTGGCCCCATAGTAGGACATTGCTCGGTGTCCTCTCCACTGTCCTGTGGAGGGACATCGCACAGTGTCCCCTCTCCTATGGCCACATGATGGGATACTGCACAGTAACCTGATGGTGGGATGTCTGTGGAAGGCCACCTCTCACGGGCATGTAATGAGACATTCATGGTGCCGCCAGTCATATGGTGGGACAATGCACGGTGCCACCTATCCTCTGGCTCCACGGTGGAGCACTGCATGATGTTCCCTCAACCATGGCCCTGCGGTGAGATGCTGTGCGATGCCCAGCCGCCTGAAGGTCAGGGCACGAGCGTGGGCTCCTCCCCCCTGCCCACTTCTACCCATCTCTAAACCTCACGCTCCCTGTAGGCCTTCCTCTCTGTTGTCCTCTCCAAGCTGGCTCTCCTGGGCTCTGCCGCCTGCTTCTTCTTCTCGGGGCTGGGTCTGACTGACGGCCCTCTCTGCCTCTACAACACCACTGAGCGCAGCGATGGCTTTATGTGGGACTACCCCTTCGTGGACAAACCTAGCATCAGGTACAGGGCCCTCACGCTGTTGGCAGTGACAGTAGGACCGCAGAGGGGAAGGCTGCATGTGGCTCAAGCTCTCCCTCATGTGATGCAGGAGCTTGGAGAATTTCTACCTGTTCTGCCCGAGCACCTGGGGCACCTGCCTGGAGCCGGTGGGCATCGTGGCATGGCACGTCACCTTCTTCTCCCTCCTGCTGCTCATCAGTGCTGCCGAGATGCTGCTAACCTTCCTCCAGATCATCAACGGCTGCGCCGGGTGCCTCTGCGGCTTCTGTGAGAGGAAGGAGGCAGGGCTCTCCCGTGTGCCTGGAGTGAGGTGAGACCACGTGTCCCGGCTGTGGCCTCTGGGGAGACCACTCCTGCTCACCCCATGTCTTCCATTCCACGACACACCTGAGCCACGTATGTAAATAAAAGCCTGATTTATTTTTGTTAATCTGTTTTGCGGTGATGATGCCTCCTGTGGGGGGCAGCTCGGACTCCCAGCTTGGTTGGAGCTGGGGCTGTGGATGGAGGCGTGCTGGAAATGGGGTGCAGGTCCCTCAGAATTCACACTTACACATATACATGCACGCACACAGCGAACGTCAGGCTGGCGCCCCTCAGTGTGTATTTCATAGGGTCATTGAGGTGGGAAAAGACCTCCAAACACAACCCATCCCACCCTTCCCACTGGCCATGCCCCTCAGGACAACATCTGGATGGTTGTTGGTTCCACAGATTGACTGTGTGTGTTTGGGAGAGCAATTAGCTTGCTTCTTTAATTCGCATGAATATGTTTTTTTTGGGTGCTGTGGATCTGGGTGTGAAGCTTGCCCACTGGCAGGGTTTTTTGGGGGCAGATGAGACAGCATCTCCAGCACCCTGTGTGAAGCTGGAAGCAGCAGGAGAGTGGCATTAGGAATCAGTTATTTATTCAGAAGGATTTTAGATGGAGGAAGGGAGGTGCAAGGGTGGTAGGACAGAGGGACGGTGACTGATTACTGGGATGACACGGTCATATCAGCATGAACTTGTAAGCCCAACCACCCTATGTTTAAAAATCAGCAATAAAAATGAGATAAAACCCTGTTTTGGGATAGCAGCCCTCAGCATGGTCCAGCTCCCAGCATCCCAACATCAGCACAGCTCACAGGGCTCATGCCAGGCTGTCCCCAGGTGCCACTAGCTCCAGCTTGGCCACTGGTGGTAGCCGGCCCCATCTGTCCGTGGCTGTCCCCTGCCAGGGGACACTGAGTGGCTCTAGCAGACACAACAGCTCCTTCGCCTTCGCTTCCTGCGGGGCACTGCAGCCGTCAGGGGGATGTTCTGGAGCACGTCATGCAGTGTGAACATGCTGAAGGAGATCTGCTCATAGGGCGAGCGCTTCCCATTCTCATACAGACAGGCAAAAGCAATGGCCGGGCCACCAGAGACGGGGAACTGGCTGTGGGGCAGTTCCATGTAAGCCAGGTCTGAGTAAGCGCTCGGGCCCTCGTAGATGACCCAGGGCTCAGTCCAGCTGTCCGCATCCCTGGGGAAGGTGCTGAGGTGAACCCCCATGTTGACCCGCGACATGGAGCTGGTGGGGTGTGAGTAGAGCACCCATGTTGGCGCTTGGAAGAAGGGCCCAGAAGTGCCTTTGGGATCCCCTTGGAATGAGGCACAGCTGCGAGGTTCTGTTGAAGTCCTGCTGCCAGTAACCACGGCAGGGAGTGCCTGCAGAGCTGAGCGGGGCTGAGGGCCGTACACCAAAGGTGCGGGGAAGCCGATGATGCTGCCGTGGCAGCCATGTGGGGGCTCGACCAGCCGTGGGACCAACTGCCCCCCATGGAAGACAGCCCCGTCATCAGTGCTCAGTGCCTGGACGCGGAAGCCCAGGGAGCTGCGGGCGTTGCAGTAGAGGACGTTGGAGCCATCCTCCTCATCCACCGAGACCAGCTGGCACTCTCCTGTCTGCAGGTTGGGGATGAACTCCCCAAAACGCCATCCCTGGCCGTGGTCATCACTGTAGAAGGCGAAAGAGTGCGGGCTGGTCTTGCAGAGCTGCCCGAAGCACTCCTTGCAGTCGATGTGGTAGCTGTAGGCGGGCACCAGCAGCCGGCCGGAGCGCAGCTGGATCCCGTGCCCTGGGCCCAGCGCGAAGGTGGCCCACTCTGGGGACAGGGGGACAAGCGTTACCAGTGGTCCCCTCCATCACGAGCCACATTTCTGCCCTTGAACCCTCACTGGACCCCAGCCCTGCAACACGGGGCTGCAGCCTGAGGCCTTTGGTAGCCACTGCTCTGGCCCTCCCACTGCCCTGCATGGCCACGCTGCTACCTTTGATGGCCCTGCCGATGACCTGCTGCGTCAGGTCGGTGGCTTTGCTCCAGCTCAGGCCCTGATCGGCGCTGGTGACGCAGCAGAGGCGAGTGACGTTCTGCCCGGTGACAATCTGGAAGGCTTCGGGTGTCCTGCCCAGCACCGTGATGAAGAAGAGGAAGAGGGTGCCGGTGAACTCATCATAGAGCGGGCAGGGGTTCATCGAGCGGTGGTGCTGCAGTGCCGCTGTCTCCAGCACCCGCATGTCTTCCCACTGCTCGGAGAGCGAGTAGTGAGCCCCCAGCACCCTTGGGCCATTCTCCCTCCCCGTGGACCCCGTCCCACCTCCACGTAGCTGCCATAGACGGAGCCGCGGCGCAGCACCAGCAGGTTGGCGTGGGCATCGTCGGCGCTCAGCCGTTCCTCGGCAAAGGCCAGCAGCTTGGCCACACAGGGCAGGTAGAGCAGGGCTGGCACGCGGTATGTGACACCAGTGGACTCCTTCTCAAAGAGCACAGTCCGGGCAGGGAAGTGCCGGGAGCCCATGGTTCCTGCAGGGGAGAGAGGGCAGCCCCCACCAAGGTGGGGACTGGGGAGATGCGGTGCTGCAGAAAAAAAAGAGAAGGTTGCTCTCCATGCTGCCGGTTGGAGGGGTTTCTGCAAACCCAGGCTGGCCAGGGCTGGGATGGGAAATGGAGGGGGCAGAGCTGTCCCCATGCGCGTCCTCTGAGCTGGGTGATGGGATCCCATCAGCTCCTTCCTCTGCTGCATTCCCACCAAAGGCCCAGGGATGCTGCTTCCCCGTGCTGTTGGCTGGGGCACTCACCTGCATTCTGTCTAGCGGCTTTGCCCAGCACCCTGCAGATAAAGCTCAGGCACTCACCCGATCCTGTGCAGCGCAGCCCTGTCCCCTGCTGCCGGCTGTGTCTCCCCTTGCATTGTCCCCCGCCGATGGGTCACGGGGCCCAGCAAAAAAGCCCTGAGTCAGCAGCAGCACAAAGGCACCATTATCAGGCAGCCAGAGCCTGGGCCCCTCAGTGTGTGTCCGGGCTCAGGGCTGGGGGTAGAGGATGCCAAGGGGATGTGCCTCCTGCCTCCGTTTCCCTCCTGCCACCCAGGGAGTGTTGTCGGAGCCTCTGGATTCACCGTAGCCATGCAATGCCACCTCCTCTGCTGCCTGCTCTTCCCCAGGGAGCTGCTCCAGCCACCAAAATGACCCATTGTGGCCCCCTCACCACCTGGCAGCTCAATGCCTTCAACACCTATGTGAAGCAGTGTGGAATAAACTGCTCATTAGCAAGTTGTGCCACAGCTGTCCTAAAAACTTCCCATGCACATCCCTTACCACTGACCTGCATGGGAGGGAGGGCACCCTGGTTAAACCTGAAATCCTGCACTGTATGTGGAGGCAGGCATGGTAGAAGCTGGCAATGGGCTCCAAGAACCAGTGCCAAGCCCAGCTGTGGTGTGATGGCACTGCTGTGCTCCCTGTGAATTGGTCACATGCAGAAGTCCCAGGAGTTTGATTCATTCTCTCCATCACAAGTGGATGTGATGTGGAAGTGCCTCCCTGGACCCCTCTCCTAATTGGTGGTGGAGAGTTTGGATGTGGGAGCAACAGAACGTGTTAAAGCCTCTGCTGATGCTAAAGCATCAATGCTGCCAGCATGGAACACTCATTCCTCACCTGTGCACCTGTGCCTTCCACTGCTGCATTCCCTTAGCATGCTCCTGTCCTCATTCCCTTCATTCCTTTTCTTTTGATTCCTAAAAGCAGGAAGCCAGGACTTGTTCTAGTGAGATTTAACCAGCCTGGAAGTAATGACCTCTATTAAGAAAGGTCAAATGCAAACAAAACGATTGAGCTCATGATTAATGTTTAAGTGGAAAGAAAGTCTAGCCCAGCCTGAGAGCCTACCAGTGCACTGGGCTGTCCCCTACATGTGACAGCAGCGTCATGGACTCGAGCATTACCCAGCTAAGGCTGTGTCCTTGCCTGGAGGCCTTCTGGGACCTGCCACAATCTCAGCAAGTCTGGAAGGTCCAAGTACATGGTGGCTGCAACCTCAGTGCCAAGAAGGGGCCGTGCCCTTCAGAAGGTCTGGCATCCACATAATGAAAAAGGCGGTAAATATAAAGAAATAAAAAATTACTTTTTTTTTTTTTTTATCCACAGAATGAATGACAGAGTGTGGAGGTAGCCCTCAAATGATCCCCAGCCTCCCCATCCTGTGCAAGAGTCTCATCGCCAAACTCGGCCAGTGCAAAAGGCTGCAGCAGTGGGATGCTGTAGCTGCAATGTGGGGGATTACATCTTCTGAGAACTGTTCCACTACTTGGGAAAGTTTATGGGCTTCCCCTTCTTGTGTGGGTACTGGAGGGAGTAGAGGTAGGATGTGTACTGGAGCTCTGGTATAACCATTTTCTGGCATTTTTTCAGAGTGTCATTGTCTAAGTCTTTTCTGAGGTTATAACCAAGGATATTTGCCGACCCTGACTGGAAAGGCAAGAGAGTCTTGTCCTTGATGTGAGCCTTCACCACAGCCTCCTGGTCCAAGAGGCAGGTCTCCATGAGTTCTTTCTGCCTCATTCGCAGGTCATTTACCTCCTTCTCCAGCTCTTCAAGTCCTATAGTCTCCTCAATCCTCCTCCAGAAGCTCTGGTTGAAGTGCAGGTAGAGCTTCCAGTCCAGCGAGCACCACTTTTTTACTCTCTCCTCGCTTTCTGGAGTCAGGGCCTGGACAGTCTCATTGCTCCTGGAATTGAGTTTGAAGTAAATCACATCATCTAAATCCCAGCACAAGGTGTGTTTCAGGAGGATCATGGACTCATCAAAGTAGTCTGCTATCAAGATCAGGTGGAAGTTCTCTTCAGTCTCATCCAAGACAGACTGGATATAGTTTTCGTCGTCCTCTGCATTGTTATCATAGCCAAAGTCAAACCACATGTTATTCTTGGCATAGATGTTTCTCCTGTAATCCTCCTTATGGTAGTATTTCAGGGGTGACGCCAGGTATTCATTCACATCCTTGGATCTACTGAAGGCGGGGGCCACGTCCTTGTAGTAGACATAGGAAGATTCCAGCAGAGCAATGGGGTTCCTCAGGATGGAGAAGTAGAAGGTGTTCTTTGCCATCACCTTGTGCACCTGTGTGTGAGGGGGGAAGAAGAAGGGCTGTTAGGCCAGATTAGATGCTCATGTGCCCACATTTTGAGCTTGTCCAGGTTCACCACTCAGCTTGGTGTCACCAACAAACTTGCTGAGGGTGTCCTCAACCCCACCTGTCTATGTCATTGATAAAGATGTGGAAGAGCACTACTGACCTGAGGGACACCACTCATGACTGTCCTCCATCTGGACATAGAGCCATTGACAACAACCCCCTGGCTTCGACCATCCCATCAATTCCTTATCCACCAAGTAGTGCGGCTTTCAAATCCATATTTATCTAATTTAGAGGTAAGGATGTGGTGAAAGACCATGCCAAAGGCCTTGCACAAACCCAGGTAGATGACATCCATCAGTTTCTCCACGTGTGCCAGGGCTCTTACCTCAGAGGGGTTGAAGCGCAGGTGGTTGCACATGATGTTGTAGTTTTGCCCTTGGGTTTGAAAACCCTCCACAAAATTGGTGACAAAACTCTCCGGGTAACCCAGGTGGAATTGCTGGCCGGCGGGGAGGGCAGCTGTGAGTTTGTACCTCTCGGTGAAGCGGAACAGGATGTTGAGGATGGTGCTGCTGGCAGTCTTGTGGGTCTTGAGGAACATGACGTTGGTCTTGGCTTGGCAGGGCGTGGGGGATGCCAGCAGCTCTGCAGAACTCTTCTGGAATCTGCAGGAAGGCAACACATGGGGAAAACAGCCCTTCCAGAGACATACCCCATCTCTTAGAGCTGGCAGCATCAGCTTAAATCAAGGGAGCTAACTCAAGTGTCACAGGTTAGCTCCTTGCTGCACTGTGTGCATCAAGTCAAGCAAATGGCTGCTCGTGCTGTGATAAGACTTACAGGTGGTTCCTGCTATTTGCATGGAAGAATCCCAACAGGAAGGCAAGTCCCAGGAACACGTTGACAAGGAAGAGATTTTTGATAGGCCTGGAAAGAGAGCAGAATTTCAGTGAATGCTATCTAGAAGGCCATCTTGCCCCAAATGCGAACCACCAAACTGCTGCCCTCATGACTTCTGTCACTGGGGCCATATTTCCATGTGCCAGGCACCAGCTGTGCCAGCAGCTCTTGAGGCAGGACAGAGAGAAATTGCTATTTTATCCTCATTTTGACCAACACAAACTGCTTTTTTTGTTATTTGTTTCTGAGGCCCTAGAGTTTGTCTGCTTTGAGTTTACTCTCTCCAAGTGCCTCTCAGCAGCCACCAGGACATAAAAAACGAGCACTTTGTAGGATATATGGGCGTTTCCTTGATAAGCAATCTGAGTGAGCCATGCAATGACAACACTCCAGAAGATAAGGATCAAAAAGGAAAACTACAATTGACTTTTTTTTTTTTTTTTTAAGACGACAGGGACTTTTCAATATAGAAGGCTGATTAATAACACAGCAGTGCCTCTAACAGACTAGTTACACCCTGATTCTCAAAACAGATGACTCTCCCAGCCTAGGATCTCACATTTGGCTTCACCTGCACCTCCTGTGTGCTGTCATCAGATTTTCTCCCCTTGGCCAGGCTTTAAATTGCCTGGGCTCAGAGCTAGAGCTGTGGATTTGTCACCTCATCCACCAACGCTTTGCTTGGAGAACAAAGAGTTGAGCCTTTCCCAGCACTAATTAGACAACCCCCAGGTATCATCACCAATTCATTCTAAGCAGGACATGAATAGGCTCTCTGGGAGGTTTGATGTCCACCAAACTTGATCTGACTCCTCTGATCCTAAAACCTTCCTTAATGGGGTACCACACTTTCAGCCACGGTTTCCAAAATACAGAGGATCTGGCTTTGGGCTTTGGGTTTTGGGACGACAGTCCTGCTTACAGAGTGGGACCATCATGGTTGTGGTTTCCCCCTGCCCAGCCAGCATGAAGCCAGCACTCCCCTGCCTCCTTTGGGTAGTGGGTAGGCAAAAGGCAACCCCAAATACTGTGTTGGGAATGCTCTCTATCCTGGGAAAGAGCACGGGTGGCATCCAATGCCAAACAACCATTGTCACACCAGAAAGAAAGACGAACACTGGAGGGGCAGAAATGAGACAAGTTTCTGCAAAGCCTTTCCAAACACTTCCCCCATGTGTTGTCCCTGAAACCCTCTGTCTGTGTCAGTGGTGTGGTGTTTGTAACTTGGTGTAAGTACAACTACAACCCGATGGTCTGAGCGTAGAACCAAAGAAGCAGACCCGTGAAGAAGGAGCAAAGAATGCCATACACAAAACCACGTTGGCTGAATCCTGCATCCTCGCCAGGCCCAGTACATTTCCACAACCTCCTGTTGGCTCTAATGAGCAGGGATGACATAGACAGATAAGATAACAGAAAACTGGAGAGAGCAAAGTCCAACATAAAACTGGGAGCTGCACACAGAAATACAACAATCAAAACTGATGTCTAACAACATGCCATAAAACAAACGAAAGCACAAGGATTTGGGTGCAGGCTGTGGTGCTGCAATGCAGTAGGTGTTAGTGCTGCAGAAAGAGGGCTGACTTTGCTCTGAGCTTTGCATTGCATGAGTGCATTCTCCCCCCTGTGACAGAACCCTTCCCAAAGCCTGGGAAGCAGCAAGCTTGGGTGGGAAATGGCAGCACAATTTCTGCATGAGGAATGTCAAGACGTAGATGGGTCTCAGATTGGGTATTAGAGAACGTTTCTTCTCAGAAAGAGCAGTGAGGCACTGCACAGCTGCACAGGGAGCTGGTTGTGTCACCGTCCCTGGGGCGTTCGGAGTCGTAGAGATGTGGCACTGAGGGATGTGGGCAGTGGGCATGGTGGGGTGGGCTGGGGTTGGACTTGGGGATCTGAGGGGTCTTTTGCAACCTTAATGATTCTACGACTTCTTTACTTTTTGTTCCCAGGGGAGAGAAACCCCTTTCCTTTGAGTGCTCTATGGGTACTGAGACCTGGGGAGAAACACAGAGGGACCAGCGGCTTGCATCTGCTGAATGTGCCCTATCCCCTTGCCTTGTTCCTCAGCCTTTCACTTAAGGTGAAGCTGGTGCTGCTGTGGTGGTGTCCCAAGGTCTGCCTTTCTACCTGCATGGTGGTACTTGCTAAGCCAGTCTGCCTGTGTCCTTTTTCTGCACCTTTTCTGCAGAATTCAACGTGTGAGACAAGGCTCCATGTTTGCTCAGGCGTTGTCTGCACAGTGGAAAGCAGGAGGGTTGCACTCAGATGGTTTGTTGGGGCATATGAGTCAATGTTTGCCTAAAGCATCATGAGTTTAAGTCAGGTGCAAGATCACCATCCCTATGCAACAAGAAAGCAAGCTGAACTGCCTCTTTACAACCAACATCCCCAAGCAGAAATGATGGGCTAATTGTCCCCTGGTGGCACTGACCCCCACTTCACTGCCTGGTGAATACGTGGATGGCAGGACAGCCGTGTTCAGCTCTTCCTAAGGGGCTGAAAGGACAATGGGACCTGGAGGGACAGGGCTCTGCTAGCCTGACTGCTAACAGGGGAAGGAGCAGCCACTGCCCTGAGCACGACACGCACGGGACTTGCTCAGGAAACTGCAATTCTCCAACCAAGTGATTCCTAAATCTGAGCACGTTGGGCCAACAGACACCACGCACGGTGTCGGCTGAAATATCTTTTGAACTCCTCAAGCGAGACAGGTCCCACTTGTTTGAGCGCTGTTTTGCTGTATTGGCTGAAGGTGAGCAGGGAGAGTTCCGAGCATGATGGAGCACACTGAGGCACTCAGAGCAGTAAGCAGGGCTATTTCGTAACTATCAGCTCTATGATGGGAGCACACGTGGCGCACGTTTCAGAGCACCCCCTTATGCATCCATCGACCAAGGACACACTGAGCCAAAGTGCAGAACTGGGACGTGCACTGCGCGCCTTAAGGTCTGACACACTTCTGTTTATTTGGATTAAGCCGAAAATAACACAGATTCCCTACAAGGATCCGTGTCGGCACAACGAGGTTCCTTCAAATTAAGAGTCTCGGGATCCAAGAAGACACACACACGGCAAAATTAATCTCTACCTGGAGCAGCCTGTAGCTAACTGTAGGTTATTAACCACTTATGTGGATTACCTGAGCCGTGTGATCCAGACCTCCCTGCAAACCACTAATGCTAATTCAGCGCCCGCAGCGTTCTCCTCCGTCTCCCCTTACCTTGAAGCACGCCCATGGGTTTTCATGCTGCCGTGAGCTGGAAAGGATCTCTTCTGCAAATCAGCTCCCAAACTCCTTTTGTTTACGGCCTCCCACAGCTCTGAATGTAAGTGCCTCTATTTCTAGCATCCTATCAATGCTATAAATGGCTGGGACAGGTGAGGACAAAGGGAGTGGCTCGGTGGTGGGCGGAAGTGAATTAATAAGCCATGAACCGTTCTGGCATGGCATTCCATTTGCACAGGTACAGAGCTCTTTGCAGAGCTGCCTAGGAGATGCGGTGTGTGGGGAGGAAAGGACTGAGGCCATCCTTAGCAGACAGCCTTCCCTTGAGAGCAAGAGCGTAAAACAGGAATGGTGTGCAGGATATTCCCTTTCATTTCAGGTTGCGCCACTGGCACCAAGTCAGAAATCACGATGACTCAAACTCTTTTCCCACGACAGCCCGATTATTGTAACAAGGGGTGAAGAGCACAGACCCTTTGCTGTATCCGAGCCTCGGCAGGAAAACCTTTTGTACCTACACCAGTTGAGTTATATTGGATGATCCAACTAAGTGACTTCTGGAGTTAAAAACGGTCGCCATGACGTGAGTTGCACGTGGGTCTCAAAGTCCACTGAGACTTTCGTGGGAGAGCAGGAGCAGCCCTGCAGCTGGGGCGCATCTCCCCATGTCTGGGACCCTGCAGCGCTGGGAGCTGGGCTGCCTCCACTTCTTCTGCACGTGGCACGGGGCAGCTCCAGAGTTACTCAGGCAGGAACAGACCTTGCGGTGCCTCACACAGCTGCAATTATTCTATATTTGCTGCATTCCTGCTGCCTGTCCTGGCATCAGCTCCTTGCACGGAGGGGTATCCGCAGGAGGGCAAGGCAGGGAGGGAAGAAGGGGGAGCAGGAGCTGGGCAGGGCCCACAGCAATGTGCGTCAGCACCCAACACTATTCCCTGATTTCCTCCATACACATATCTATTGCTGTGACCTCCAGGGCCCAGACACAGTAGGGGAATTGCTGCTCATGGGATGTTGATGGCATTATGTGTAATTTGGACAATAAAATGCTGACGCACAACCCCAAGTCCAGAGTAGGGCAGTAAGCCATTGGTTTGGGACTTTATGGCCAAACCTCTCCTATGCAACTCATGGCACGGTCCCTCTCCACCCATGGCGCACCTTTCTCACCATCACACCAGTATCAGATGCTCATGTGCCAAACAGCCTCCCCTTGCCAGCCTCAATCCTGGTGCTTATCAAGGTTCAGAGATTAGTGAGGCGTAAAGTTTCTTTCCTTGAGCCAACGGGCTGCTCTGTAAAGGGTTATTCTCGGCATGGAACAAGCTGCTGGCAGCAGAGCACTAATTCATTTCCTTCTTTCTCCTGTTAACATTCAGCACATCAGCCGTGTGGTGTCCTGTTCGGGAGCTGGCAGAGCCCACCAACCACGGAAAACCATTTTTTCTCACTTTTACAACTGTTTCACTGCTCTGTCCTGGGCTGCTGTACAAGAACCGTCTCACCCGTTCAGGTTCAGTTATGCAGAAAATGTGTTGCCAAAGGGAAATACTGGGTTTAGCTGGGGCTGGGTTGCTTTAAGAGCAGAAGCACTGAAGGGCAGCCAGGTGGCACAGCGTTAGCTGGGTCAGGACCCTGCAGGAGCTGCTCCATCCTGTGAGCTGGGATAGAAGAGAGCCACACACCTCCATGCTGCACCAGGAGACCCTGCAGCACTGAGTGCCCGCAGGCATTCCTCATCCTTCCACTGTTTCACTCAGGCCTGGAAAAGGGGACAAGAAGAGCTTACAGTGACTCCATATTAAAAAAGTAGTGCACAGATATTACACATCCACTCCCTCCCTCCGACGTACAGTGGTCAACCAACGTTGGAGAGCATCGACAACATCCAACAGATGGCCAATATTATAGATCTAGGAGAGATGCTGGCACATTAAGCCCATGATACCTCCTCCTGCAGGGTAACCATTCTGTTGTTCAGCTGGGATGGTGCAGCACATCGCCCACAGCTCTCCGTGTGCAGTCCCTGCCAGAATCCCCGGGCTGCAGCATGGTGTTATCTGGCAGCCCGACCCCCTCCCCAGCACTTTCCCTGTGTGCAGCTGAAGAAAAGCAGGATGGAAAGTTCCATGTCCCAGAATGAACCATTCATGCACAAAGACTGCATTTTAACCTCTTCTGGGCAGTGGTTTGTGGAAAAAGAAAAAAAAAAAGAAAAAAAAAAGGGAGCAGGAAAAAGGCAGAGAATATCAACAACCCAATCCAGAAAGAACAGATTGTATCAGCTTCGCTTGGCAGAAAGCAAGTCCTGTACATTTCTTCTTTCCTGCCACCATGGACTTCCCCTATTTTTGCATCATCTGCTATACAAAGAGCACAGGCTGGGTGCATTTTGCTTCCTGACACGCTCACTCTGCTTAACCCCCTCCTTCCTGCTGCCCCAGACATTGGGTGGCTGCAGCCTCATTGGGACCCTATGCATGCCTTGCTCCAGGGACACCACTAAGCTCACTGACAGCTGTGTAAAGGCTTTGTTGTTAGGATATACCTGATGACTGACCTTCAGTCCCTTGATGGGAGCGCTCAAGGAGCACAAGGCCATTTAGGACTATATTGTTTCAAATGACTGCTGCAGGAGATTGGAGTTCCTGCTGCTGGAACAGAGTAACAGCATCCCAGGGCTGCCTGAACTAACTGCTGGCAATAGGAGGATGCAGAGATGGTCTTACAGTGGTGTGCAGAGGCCTGAAGAAGATGATCAGCTCCTCCCTGACAGCTCCTGATGAACAAAAGGAGTGGTAGGGCGTGCCTAAATATTGACACAGCGGGTTGTGCAATGATAGGGGTTATTTCTGCTGAAAACATCCATGCGGCAAAGCTGAGAGAGTCATGACCTTAGTTAGAATTTCACTGTGATGTGCTGTGAGGCAGCCACCATCCTTAATTCAATTCAGCGCCTCATAGAGTTGATGCTCTGGTTCAAAACGGAAGGCAATGGCTCTTTAGGATGTTTTTGTGCTCTGGATGGATGATCTGTGATAGCGCTGGGGTTGAGTGATGTACATGTAATGGTGAGCACAGATGTGGCAAACACTGGGAGGCAGGAGAAGACTCATGGGCAGTGATTTGCCCTCGAGCAGCAGCAGGGTGACAGCATGGTTTTGTGCACCAGCAGTACATGATCTCTCCATCATCTCAAAGCAGAGGCAGAATGTATCCAAACAAAACCGCTCAAACCGAGGAAACAAAGATCATGCCTGGGATTTGGGGGAGGATCAAGCAAGATCCGGAGTCAACAAGGCTGTCCTGTGATAACCAGCGGCTCCTATGGGCTGCCCAAACATCCCTTCTTATCGCCACCAGCACCAGGACAGCCCACACGTGGACACACAGCACACACACAGAGGGCATGCCAAGATCTGTGAGACAATGAGCCCAGTTAAAACCAGCCTATTTACACCGATCACCTGCCAGTTGCACTTGGTCTTGTGCTGTCTGCTGGTACTTTCCCACATCTTCCTTCTCCTCTCACCCTCCTGCTTGAGTAAGCCTAATTTTTTCCTGCATCTGTTGGAATCAGGGATCTTTCTGAGTGGCAGACAGCAGGATTTCATTTTCCTACTGATTTCCTTTCCTATTGTCTGCTTCCATGCTGCTCTTTGCTACCAGGCTGCCTGCCAACCAGAGCAGAGCTGGATGTGGGCCATGTGGGCCGCCTCCACCAGCCTGAAACCTGCCCCTGTGCTAAGGCTGCACCTATGGAGAACAAAAGGAGTTTGCTGAGTACTGCGATGCACAGAAATCTCTGCACTGTGCACTTGGAGTTGGATATCCTGTCCCCTGTCGCTTGTGCACCCCAAATGAGCAAACACCTCCTCTGGCTGACGTCACCTCGCCATTAAATCACACCAAAGTAGAGGGAAAGAGAGCAAAAGATCCACACACACTATCATGGGCACAGACAGGACACAAATCATGAATTTCGTTTCTTCAGCTGAAGATCCAGGTGAAGAGCAGCTCTCAGACAGGACTCCAGCCGAGGCTCTGGTCTGGCCACCCAGCATCCAGGGTGCATGGATGTGTACAAGGAATCCCCAAGAAACCAAAACAGAAACAGCTGAACTGAAGGTCAAAGCAAAAAATTGCTGTAGCCAAACCCAACGGCAACCGAAGTTCATCACTGACTCACATTGTAACTTTGCAGTCACCTACCTTCTTTCTGCCTTTCCAAGGTCTTACACTCCAGTAACTGATCTAATGTCACTCCCAAAGCCCATCTCCAAGCACATGGAAAGGATGGATGCTGTTTAGTGACAGTGGGAAGAGGAAAAGCCATTCCAGGTGAAGAGGCAGCTGCCAGCCCACAGCTCAGGTGAAAGAAGAGGTACTGCATACTGCATCAGCTCCTTCTTCTGCTGGAGATGGATTCATATCCCTGCTCTTAAGCCCCTCCTACAAAGGACCATGCTGCAGAATTTGGCAGAACCATTTTCCCTCAGTCCTCTTCAATCCTATCCAGTAGAAAGATATTACTGAGGCAGGAGTGCTGTGCGTGGTCAGGATAAAACTGCAAATGGAGCCAAAAGAGTAGCCAGGCCAAGACCTTGGCGCTCAGTACAGGGCTCTGCAAGCTGTGATGGTGCACAGACAGACTCCAGCTGTGCCACCTACAGCCAAGATATTTTCACAACAGGATTCTGGCAAGGCCAGATTTATCTTTAACCTCCCTAGGCCACTAGCAGAGGCTCAGACCAAGAAGTTCTGGTCTTAATCAAAGTATAACAACTGCTAAGTATAAATAGACAGATACAGAAAGAAGACCATCGCAACCCACAGAGAATGAGAGTTTGGCTCTCCATTTTTTAAATCAGCCTTTTCCATTGCTATATTTGTAAAAAGGAGGAACAAAAATCACTTCTGTTACAGTTCTAAAATTATGCTAGAAGCTTCAAAATGTGAAGAAATCTTTATTTTTAGCAGAATGCTCCTTAGAGTATTAACCCCATTTTATAAGTTA